CTCTCCCAGTTTTAACTAACAGAAACAATTTATTTCAAGTATCACTTGAGACTAATACAGTAGCCTATCCTTCAGGTAATAGACATCGTTGACACTCTTAAAGGGTTGCACTTATTTAAATTATTTAAATAAGGAAGTTTTCCTACTATGAAACTTCTTTCGTCTGTCAGATTAAACATTCCACAAATATCTACCTTCTGAATTCGGATTTTATTTTCTCATTTTAAAGGGGCTACTTTGATTCATGTCAAAATCAAGTGTAAAATTGTGTTGTTTCTATTAGTGACGGGACAATTTCCATACGATTAAATGTTCGTTTGATTTGAAATATTAAGTGGAAATCCGTATTTTTTTACTAATTTGTTAAACTTTGAAAACGCAAACATGGTTATATCTTAAAGGTGGACACACTTCGCAAAAAGAAATCCAGAAACCAAAGACAATTCTCCATTTTTGATTTATACCCCAATGGAAGATGTCTAATGATAAATATTAACCCATCCACCCTTATTCACTACAGCTTTATCGGCCATCCACCAATTCACCCTACCCCCCCCCCCCCAACCCAGCTTTATCAAACGTTAAATATAATTCCATATTTTGTATAAGGATCACTGTTTGCATCACCTATCGAAACACTGTTGACCCTGTCCTGAAAATGTGGATTTAGAACATTTTAATGAGAGTTAATTATTATTTGAGGTTATCACCTAGGTATAGAGTTTGTATTAATTACTAATAAATATCGGTTTCTCTGTGATTAATAGAGAGGGGTGTGGTTTAACGTCCACTCGACACAAACTAATATATGAATCAATTTTTGTTCAATAGTTCGCTTGCACGTAGGGGTTATTAGCTGTGGGAGGAAACCAGAGGACTCAGAGAAAACCCAAGAGCTTTGACAGGCAACCCTACTCTTTATCACGTACAAGCGAAGAATCGAAACCACACCACTTAATCCAATGACAGAACTTACGATCTAACACACACGGTCACACAACCCCCTTTATTAATGATGGGTTAACCGATTTGTTTCAAATTTTGCGCACGATCTATATTGTAAGCGCCAACAAATGTGTCTATATAATTAAATCATGGTAAACCGCAAACTATCTTTTACCGAGCGACGAAGATTTCCAAAGTACCAACTTTCCGAACAAGCAATATCTGTTTTATTAAAAACAAACGCAATCAGGAATGATTAGTCACACACCAGAACCATTTTGTGAACACATTTGATGTTTGCCTCGGATGAACATTGTCTGTTTTCAAATTAACTGCTTATTACAAGGTCAGCGGAAGCAATTTTTGATTGGGGTGAGGGGGGCTACCACCCTAATAGTAAGTGCAGGGGGACTGCACTACATATAATTTACACAGAAACAAATACATGGACAAGACATCATACGAAGAAACCACAAATAAACAAACAATTTAAAAAATGGTCCAGGGGCCGCCTAGGCCCCATAAGCTTCCGGGGGTCTAGATTGTCGGAGTCGCGTTCTGAGCGATTTCTGGCTATTAAAATGACTCAGCAATAACGTGAAGTTATAATTCTTTTATAAACCCTTTACCATGAAAACGCAGTTGATGGTGGTTTCCTGTGATGCTGAACTGAAAAAAATATATGCATAATAACATAGGATAGACACACTGTGGGAATGTAGTGGATATAATTCGTATGGGCAATGGGCGACCGTGAATCAGATTCTTGTAACGCAGAAGTAGAACCATATATGAGGTATTATAGTTATGCATAATAACTGCCATAACTGATATCAGTGAATTATTTAACACCAGGAAAGAATGTGAGAAAAACTGTGTCTGTATAGAATCAATGCTTCCGCCAATGTAACCTATTGCTTATTGAGACTTAATTAGTATGTATTTTCTCTGTGCTGAAATTGGCAAGTTTTAAGGTATAACCTTATAAAGTATTCAATAGTGTTTTTGTGTTAGCTAGGTCAATATAAATCTAGTCAATTGGACAACTTGAGAAGAACAGATCGATTCGGTTTAAACAAATTAGTGTAAAGGAAAGAAATGAAATGAAATGGGGTTTAACATCCTACTGTTCTGCTCCGACTGGGCTAATGAAGACGGGCATACGCCATAGTGTGCGATAAAGGAAATTTTGCCCGGACAGCGATGCTACGGACTATTCTTATACCTAATTCCAACTGCCAAGGGATCTTTTACGTGCACGCCAATGTGTACACGGGGCCTTGGATTTCGTCGCATCCGAACGACTAGACAGGTGTCCTTGTAAGGCCCTCCCTCCCGAACCACTGACAAGGGGAAACCACGCCCGAAAATCCCCATGAACTTTCTCGGCCAACACCGGGATCGAACCCGCGACCTCCAGGCTAGCGAGCCAGCGTCTTACGTAAAGGAAAGAAATGGGGCGTTCAAATGATGTTATAAAGTAGAATTTCTGTTTATTTAAATACTATTGCGTTCTTTAGATGGTTTACAAATTTCAAAATATTTTGGATTTTCATCCATTTTGTGTTGTTCAGTGTCATCTCAAGAATATTTATTTATATACCAGATATGAGCATTAAAGCTGTTGTGAGTGAATACTTTTTTTGGACACCCTCCCCCAGGTGGCGTCACTTTACCATCGGCTTAGCGAGTCAGCGACGTCAATGATAACAACTACGAGATAGTTGCATGCCTATTATGTAAATAGTGTTGCAGGTATGATAAGTTTCTAATTAAAGGCCAATACTGGTGTCAGTCATTATCACATATGATATAACTGGTTAAACACGTTCCAAATATAATTTTAACACAGAGATCATTGCTACGATAGATGCGTAATAAAGGTTCCAACAATCGGAAGAGACGAACGCAAAAGGAAAATCCCTCTATTTAACTGACTGAAGTGACGAGTGATAACAAATACACCAGTGAATTTTTGTTCACTAATAGGCTAATTCCTTCGAAGACCAAAAGTTGTTATATGAGACTGTAAGAGGATATCTGACAATTCAATAAAAGTAATTGAATGTCATTAGATAGAGAACACGAGAAAAATAGAAACAGTCCGTACATTCACGTGTGTTTATTAATTCTATACTTATAAAAACATGGTAATGCACGGACTTTTTCTATTTTTCTTTCGTGGTCTCTTATCTAGTGGCAGTCAATTCTTTTTATGAATTGTCAGATATCTTCTCAGTCTCACACAACAACTTTTGGTCTTCGAAGGAATTATTAGTAAGCAGAAATTCGCCCATGTATCTGTCACTTCGGTCAATTATATAGAGAGATAACTCGTGTTTTCCTTTTGCGTTCGTCACTTCCGATTGTTAAAACCTTTATTACGCATCTATCGTAGCAATGATCTCTGTGTTAAAATTATATTTGGAACGAGTTTAACCAATTCTGTCACATATGTGATAATGACTGACGCCAATTATGACAATCAAACCGCGTCGATCAGTAACAGACTGCAGGTAGACTGAGTAGCAAGACGAAATGAATAACTCGATCCGCGCAAATAAATTCCATTAATACTAATCGAGTAAACAACCTAATCCCGGTTCATCTAAATATGTGTTATGTATCTGTAGGGCGTATTCAAATACCCTTTTCAGGCTTTTCACAGCCACATTACAGTATTTCGTCACAAACTTATCACCCACAAATAAAGGAGTTTCTGACGTTTGGGAAGTGACTAAGGGTAGATAACTCTCGAAATATTTTTTCACCGATCAAGCCTGTGGAGGGTGGAGAGAGATAGAGAGAAATGGGGTTTAACGTCCACTCGACACAACTAGGTCATTTCGAGACTAACATATGGTTTAATTTTATTTCAATAATTTGCTTGCGCATAGGGGTCTTTAGCAGTGGGAGGAAACCGGAGGACCGGAGAAAACCCACGAGGTTGGACAGGCGACCCTACTCCTTGTCACGTACAACCGGGGATTCGAAAGCACGCCAGTCGACTCAATGACAGACTTTATGATACAGCGCGCGCACGCTAACCATTCAGCCATCCAACCCACATACATATTTAGTAAAAAAAAACACAACAGGCTAAATATTATCCAATTGGAAACATGCTTACAACATGCGCAGCCGTACGACCATGTCCCAAGATTGTCTCAAGTCATGATTGAAGGCTTGACGTAAGAGAATTTCCGATCATCGCTTGAAGGCTGGACGTAAGATTTTACATGCGATAAAATTACATCACGTCCATGATTGAGGCGTAAGACTGGGACATATGTTTTCTTGCTTGAAGCGTATGACTTGAGATGGATTGGGTGTCCAACCCCCCTGTGCAGGGTGGAACACTGTAATGCGAAATCCGGGAGCGAAACCCCCAAACATTTCGACATTTTTTTTAACAATTTTTGTACAAATGATGTTTAAAATTGGACTCATTTGGTAATGCAATATCTCTTAATAAAACATAGCCAAATCCAATGAAAACGATATAAGTTCTAATTCATCCTTTCAAAGAATGTTCCGAGGTCGATTCGCTCATGATGAATTTTAACACCGCACCAGGATTAAGGAAATTATAATCAGTTGTTTATAGCATATTGGTAATCAACATTTTAAGGACCCGACTGTCGTGACCAAACTATGAAAGAATAAACAAAATGACATTTTCACAATATCTGTGCAAAAAAAGACAGGGAAGGGGTGGCTGTTCTGGCTTCCCTGGCAGTAAACAACATTTAGTAACTGGATAAGAACACATGACACAATTATATGGAATACAAGTTACTTAGAAGTTAATTTCTGGCGATTTTATGACGAGGATTCTTTCGTCCTTATTGGGATGTTAAAGATGTAAGAACCCTCGTTGAAACTTGGCCAGTAATAAACTTTTAAGTAACTTGTATTCCGTCTAATTGTGTCATGTGTTACAACATGTATGTGATGTACATACATCCAATCTTCAATTTGGCTTGATTTCATATGTATATGATGGGGGGGGGGGTAATCTACCCGGAAATTTATTAAAATTTGAAGACCATACATACGGTTCAGTATTTTATTTGATTTTTAATTTCAGTTAAATTTAGACAACAAAATAATAACATAACAATTGATGTACATGTATATTGTATATTAAATAATCAACAACAATTTTACGGATTTTTTTCTTCTATACATTTTAGAAAATTGTTTCCATAATTAACTATCTAAACAAATTATATCCACAACTCCTTCATACCGTTTTCAAAATTATATTAAAAAACGACATGGACACGAGAAGGGTATTCTGTGATTTGTGGTCGAAATCGAATTGTAACTTGTGGAAGCAGGGTTTTTTTGTTTTTTTTAAAAATTAGCCTTAACAAATTTCAAAACTCAAAAGTTTTAATAACACGTACAGAGCTCCACTGATAAATAACAAAACTTAAGACTTAAAAAAGACGGTACTTGATGTTTAAAATCTATACACATTCTTGTGTCCTAATGGACAAATCCATTCTAAAGGTTTAAGAAATTGCTGCCCAATAATTTAGGTTGTTCTTTTTCAAAATACTGAATTATGACAGGGCTCTTTCATATGAGACAAATCTTGACCATCCACAACAAATTGTGGGGAAAGAGATGGTCATGTGTGACGACATTGGAAACTACATAAAATTAATAATCACATATTAAAGGACCTAAGTCGTAACTCAAAATCCTCCAAAATTTTCGACATCGAAAACACAAATTATTGGTCAATTTAAATCAACATTGATGATGTAAACTTACCGGGAAAAGATGAGCTTCTGATATCCCATATTTAAGATAAAATAATTTTTTTAACATTGGTACACGAATCGTGTACCATAATGCGCTTCAGCCCCAGTTGTATTGAGAGACTCGAGGGACGAGGCTAGACACATTGCACCAAATCAAATGGAGTTATGTAGACTAGAATAACTAGACGCTAGAAATTTGCACTCGATTGAGATTGCTGACTTATTTCGCCGAACATAACTGATTTGAAATTGGAGTAAAAACGGAAACCATTAAATGTAAATCAGTTTATATACATTCATATTACAGTATTATATGCGTTGCGACCCACTTTTGTGAATTTCTAGGTCCCAAATGTTAGCGATTTAGCTCCTTTAAATCAAGAAAAATTTTACTAATCTAAATATTACGGCCTGTTTGGTGTATAGTGTATGATTTCTGAAAATTTGAATTTTTCCCAGGACACCTTTAAGATGTTAGTCCCAAATCTTTAGCTAACTGTGTCGATGTGAGTGTATGCATCTCGTCTTTGTTAGCATTAAAATTCCCAATGGTTTCTTGTCTAACTTCAGTCCATTCATTTAAAGCTCTGAAAATAATAGAATACATTTTACAATAACATGCCACCTTTTAAGGTTTTACTAAACCAACCCGACAAACACCAACTTCATGCAAGGTTAAAATAATGCACTAGTTGGTTGGTAACGTTTTTGTCTGCGATATCACGTTTGTGGAAGCAGACGTTAAAGAGACCAGGTTTAAATTCAAAAATTAGATAAAGTTTTATTTTCTTAGATAACAATAAAAGTTCCGTGTTTCTATTAAGATGCACTAAAGAGTTTTATACCAACCTGTAAATTGGACGAACAAACTTCATTCTTCCTTGTTCATTAATAAATTCAAATGCTCTAGGTAGAACAGAAGTCCACTTGGCTCTAATTCCAAGCATTATCCACCTAATTTAAACAAAATACTTTCAATAAAAGGGGAGAACATTACAAAAAGGTTTGGTTCTTGTTTAAAATTGAACAATTTCTCCCATTTTCTATCGTAAACTTTAAATATTCCCCAATCAAAATAGAAAACTCTTACATATTAAATAAAATGTATTTTATGATAGTCACATCTTAAATTTGAAAATACACAACATTTAAACCTTAATACAAAAAAAGACTCATTCCGTGGTACAAAACAACATAATATAAATAGAAAAAAGGGCCCTTTAAATTTCTCTTTTCATGCACCAAACAAAATCTTCTTGAACACGGGCAATTCAGACGGTTCCTCCCATATCAGTATAGATATATCTTGATAAGAGCAAAATCGAATATAATTGTTATTTTTGTGGGTATGCATCTTCATTTTATTAGAAGTTAGAAGTATTATGCAGCATCTATATAATATTCCATTTATAATAAGTACTTACTTGAATCGTACTTCTGAATTCCTGACATTATTTAATTTATAGACATCCTCCATGGCTTGTAATTTATTAACAGGCAACGGTTCCTGAAACAAATTTCCAATTTATATATTTATAAAAACCTAACCCCAGTATATCCCTTCCACAAAGCGACTTAATATGAATATAACCATTTTATCTTAATAGAAAAGGGCAGATGATGCGGTTCATAACTTAACACATATAATTTACACAACAAATGAAATGAAATCGGGTTTCTGCCGACTGGGGTAATGAAGACGGATATACGTCATACAGTCTGCTATGAGGGAAATTTTGACCCGGGAGCGGCTACTCATATTTCGAATTCCAACTGTCAATTGTTCCGTACACAGGACCTCGTTTTTTCGTACCATCCGAACGACTAGACATTGTCCTTGCCAGGCCCTCCGCCCTACATCACTGACAAGGAGGACACCGTGCCGGAAAATCCCGAGCAGCTTTATCGGCCAACGCCGGGAGCAACCCCGATACTTTAAAACATTAAATGTTGGATGCGTGTTTAAAAAGTTCAAATGCCTAATTACCTTCAGACATAGCAATGTCAGGAACTCTTTCTTTTGACCTGTAGAAAGGTTATTTAGATCAGCAGGCGAGAAGTTGGTAAAGTCTGTGGCATTGTTCCATCGTTCACATAGATCAATACAAACAGTTTTCAAACTTGTATCAAACCTAAGTTAAAATAAAATCAGACCAGTTTAATTCATGATCATTTTAATCATCATGATATTGATGTTGTTGAAGTAATGGTTACGAGTATTGTCAGCCCGGTTCATCCGCCGGCTTAGATGTAGACTATCTGTGGAAACCGGTCCATAAACCCTGCTAAGTTCATGGAATAAAATCGAGATTTCAACGTAATTACTTTGTTAATGCAGCTATAATACATTTCGGAAATGCTGATATGCCGTTCAAAAGTTGAAAAGGGCCAACATAGTGTAGCTGTTCAAACAGCTGTTCCAATTTATAGAAACTATATATGCAAACTATTGAATGTTATTATTCAGTTGACGCACCATTTTAAAAACCAAATAAAACGTCAAAATTCATAATGTAGGTTAGCCGGCATATTGACAGTGGAAATAAATAACTGAGGCACCGCGTTGAGCGGTACTGATAAGTACGTTTAAAAGCGGCATATTATGGAAGCCTATAACTACCATTCATAATTTCTACTTTTCGCCTCTTCAGAACACGAAAGTCAAAAAGTCGAAAAGTAGAAGTTACGACAAAATGTGAGGCGACAAGACGGTATACAAGCCAAAATCAACTCGAAAATAGGAAATTAAGAAATAACACACCGCGATAATAGCACCCCCCGTTTTTTCTTAATTTCTACTTTTCGACTTGCATTTTGGCTTGTATACCGTCTTGTCGACTTTCGACATATTGACAGTGGAAATAAATAACTGAGGCACCGCGTTGAGCGGTACTGATAAGTACGTTTAAAAGCGGCATATTATGGAAGCCTATAACTACCATTCATAATTTCTACTTTTCGCCTCTTCAGAACACGAAAGTCGAAAAGTCGAAAAGTAGAAGTTACGACAAAATGTGAGGCGACAAGACGGTATACAAGCCAAAATCAACTCGAAAATAGGAAATTAAGAAATAACACACCGCGATAATAGCACCCCCCGTTTTTTCTTAATTTCTACTTTTCGACTTGCATTTTGGCTTGTATACCGTCTTGTCGACTTTCGACTTAGTCATATTTTTGTATTTATTGATGTCAGTAAGAAGGCGCCAACACGCTATACAAGCCAACATGTAACTCGAAAAGTAGAAATTAGGAACTTAACACACTGCGCTATTAGCGACCTATGATCTGTCGTACTGTCGACTTTTCGACTTTTCTACTAGGAAGTTGTTGTAGTCTCTGCCTTCCAGGTCACATTTGAATACGCGCATACAGACATTTTTGTTAACGGGAATTGTGCGTATTCAAATGTGACCTGGAAGGCAGAGACTACAACAACTTAACTATTAACACACTGCGCTATTAGCGACCTATGATCTGTCGTACTGTCGACTTTTCGCCTAGGAAGTTGTTGTAGTCTCTGCCTTGCAGGTCACATTTGAATACGCGCAATTCCCGTTAACAAAAATGTCTGTGTGATAGAGTCTAGTAATGATGGCGATTATTTTATTATCTCGATCAAGCTTAGATTGTAAGTTTTATAATATTATTACTGACGGCTGCATAAAATTTTCCGTAACATAGGGATCGAGATATTAATAAAATAATCGCCATCATATCACACCAACATTTTTGTTAACGGGAATTGCGCGTATTCAAATGTGACCTGCAAGGCAGAGACTACAACAACTTCCTAGGCGAAAAGTAGAAAAGTCGACAGTACGACAGATCATAGGTCGCTAATAGCGCAGTGTGTTAATTTCCTAATTTCTACTTTTCGAGTTCCATTTTGGCTTGTATAGCGGGTTGGTGCCTTTTACTGACATCAATAAATACAAAAATATGACTAAGTCGAAAGTCGACAAGACGGTATACAAGCCAAAATGCAAGTCGAAAAGTAGAAATTAAGAAAAAACGGGGGCGCTATTATCGCGGTGTGTTATTTCTTAATTTCCTATTTTCGAGTTGATTTTGGCTTGTATACCGTCTTGTTGCCTCACATTTTGTCGTAACTTCTACTTTTCGACTTTTCGACTTTCGTGTTCTGAAGAGACGAAAAGTAGAAATTATGAATGGTAGTTATAGGCTTCCATAGCATATAGAGAAAAATATTTTTGTGCGCGGATAAATTACGAAGTGTGATTTATTTACTACCAAATTTTGTTAAGAAACATACGAAATTAATAAATGTCTTAATAATGCAAAAATGTAGAAGAAAACATACTTTGGAGTATACGGTGGCATCCCCTGTCCATAAAACCATGTTTTCCAATCCACACTGTCAAGTATTTCTGTCTGAAAAAAAAGATAAAACTTCAATCATATACATGTTTTCATTTTTAAAAAACACAATATTTTCATTCAGGAATCGGTAAAAATGTACTTTCGTGTAAATATAACTGACAATCTAAATGATATGAACAAATTGTTCGGAACGGATTTACGTGCACGGACTCACAGACTGTATACGAATCAGTAAACATGAAATCGAATGGGGTTTAACGTCCTACTATTCTGCAACCAGTGAACATATACTAGCGTGTGATAACCTCTACATGATATAATTTACCGATATCACTAACCAGTCATATTCCTGAAGCAATGACCCGAGAAATCTCTCTCGAGTGGGTCTAATCAAACGAAACAGGTATGCTAACCATTAGAGAATGCAGAAACCACATGCATTACATTTACTAACCTCATTGGGTAAGTAGAAAGGAAAATGGGGTTTAACGTCCACGTGACACAACACAGGTCATTTCCGGACTAACATATGCTTAAATTTCATTTCAATAATTCGCTTGTGCGTAAGGGTCTTTAGCAGCGGGAAGAAACCGGAGGACCCAGAGAAAACCCACGAGGTTGGATAGGCGACCCATTTCTTATTACGTACAAGCGGAGAATCGAAACCACGCTATTTAACTCAATGACAGACCTCTTGATCTATCGCACACGCTTTAAACCATCCAGCCATCCCCCATCCATCAGATAAGGAGGAATAATAACGATATTTAAATGGTTTTTTATTAAATGGAAACAAGAGCATATTTACTAACCTTATCAGTAAAATAGGAATAAAGAAAATCTTTCCACTGTTGTGTATCTATTGATTGTTTGTTAAACTGGGTAACGTAAGCTTTAAGGAATGGTTCAAAGACAGCTGTAAATACACAAATATTTATAAAGTAAACAATATATAACATTGCATGATATTTTACATGATATTAATTTATATCATTGGGATTTTGTAAATCAACAATAATAAATCTATTCCATAAATAATTATTAAGCAACAATATGGTTTACTATTAGAATTATAAACGATATTAAAGGCTCAATACCACTCTTGTTGTAACTGAATATGTCCCAATCTTTATTCTGGTGAACAAATTGTACTATTTTACAATATTCCAATTCATTGATGATACAAATTTCATGTTAACACACCTAATTTAAAAAAATTGGAAAAATTCAATAATAAATGATTTGAAAGCCTAACGTAAACCTTTTCAAATGTGATGTGGATTTAAAAATATTTTCGAATCCTCTGGACAAGTAAAATAGGATGTAATGGATAATTTACACAACAGGTAGGACACATAAACATCTAATACTTAGAATAAGGCTAATATTTATTTTCTGGAGCTGTCAAGCCAGCAAGAGTGTTATTGTCCCTTTAAACTTATATCACTGTGAGTTGGTACATAAACAATATTGAATCTATTCCAAAATTATTTGGTATATTGTGTTTTACACCGTGGTTCTTGTCCGAGTTTATTGGGGTTTTTTTTAAATATAATCTTATTTACCTGGTCCACCAAGAATAGTTTCTAGATAAAATAATAAAGCACAGCCTTTCTCGTAAGGTACATTAGAAAAAGCATCATCGGGGTCAACGCCTTTTAAATCTGGTACCAGGCGTGTGTACGGACCATTCTTTAAGGTATTTTCCACCTTTAGGAAAGAAAAAAATCGAAAGTTACCACGTTTTCAATCTGGAAGGGACAGGAAAGAAATGAAATGAAATGGAGTTTAACGTCCTGTTTTTAAAGTGTGTTCCATATTATGGTTTTGTGTTTATTACGTATAGATGTCAATTGTTAAATACCACTTCAAGCAGATATAATATGGACAATGTGTAGGTTCACTATAATATTAATGGACAACCTGTAGGTGAACTTTCAGATAAACACAACTTCACTAACTTACTGTATTTTTTAACTCTTGCCAACCACAATCTAGCATAAAATGTCGGAATGGTTCACCTCCATGTATACGTGAAGTAATCTTTCTCTCAATAAATACTGTATGACCTTCATTTAACCTTGAAATGAAAAATAATTATATCGTAATATGTTTTAAAAACAAATTGATTGGCTCTTTCTGTCACCAGGTCGCGACACGGTTAGAAATGCGACTAGATAACAATAAATACAAAATGTCAAGGTATGAATACCTTCTTTTGCGATTTTAATCCATGGCCGATTTGAAATTATCTAAGGATATCAGACTGTGGGAAAATGTCCTACCAGTCTCGCATTCTCGGTTATTATAATGTATATATAGTAGAAAACTGACTTTTGAAAAAGAAACATGAAATAACTGCGCAAAATGTACCGAATCTTTCTACAGAAGACCACTTATTACAAACTGTAAGAACTATCGAGTTAAATACGACAATTTACAAACTGAAAGAAATACCGAGCTAAATACGTCAACATTCCACACGGCAAGGAATACCGAGTTAAATACTCAATATTCCAAACTGTAAGAAAGACCGAGGTAAATACGTCAATGTTACAAACTGTATGGCCAGATAAATATGTCAATATTACAAACTGTAAGAACTATCGAGTTAAATACGTCAATTTTACAAACTGTAAGAAATACCAAGCTAAATACGTCAATATTACAAACTGTATAAAATACCGAGTTAAATACGTCAATATTACAAACTATATGAAATACCAAGTTAAATACAAAATGAAATGGGGACTAACGTGCTATTGTTCTGCTCCCACAGGGCTAATGAAGACGGGCCAAGTTAAATATGACAATATTACAAACTCTATAAAATACTGAGTTAAATACGACAATATTACAAATTGTAAGAAATACTGAGTCACAAATCCCAACTTACCAGAAATGTTCAAATGTTTTATTGGTGACCAAGTTACCAGCCCAACTATGGGTTATTTCATGGGCCACAACATCAGCTAATGATCTATCACCGGCCTGTAGTGAAATAAAATAATATAACATACCGGCCAACATTCATGGAGAGGAGGGGTCATTGTTCGACATTATGTATTACAAACACTAAAGTTCATCTGAAATGATTGGGTGCTACCCTTCCTATTAAGTTGCTGTAAACGTGTGAAATAGTTCATAAAACATGACAAATTCCACCAGGCTCTCAAAACCACGCATAGACCATACATGTCTTACATGTATAAAACATTTTACAATCATCGGGAATTTCATTATAAAATCATGACGCATATACAGATGTATATTATTCCTGAAGCTAGGTAAATGGATTTGAAGGGTTAACTGAAATGGTGAGCCGTGGCTCAGTGAACAAGACGTTGGGTAACTAACCTGTAGGTCCATTGTTCGATCCATTGGCCGATAAAATTCATCGGGATTTTCTGGCATTGTCCCCCTCCTCCAAAGGACGGAGGGCCTGGCAAGGGACAAGTGCCTCTAACTGATCCCGCCGAGATTCAATTGCCATAACATACCGAAAAGGTCGTTCAGTTGTCGTTTGGGGTTCGACCCCTGTGTTGCAGAGAGAGTTAGTTCCCTCCTTGTCAGTGGTGCATGACGGAGAGTCAGGCAATGATAGCGTCTAGTAGTTCGGATGGTACGAAAAAGCTAGGTCCTGTGTTCAAGTTGGCGTACACTTAAAAGAATTTTTACCCTTGACTGCTAGAATTCGATATATGTCCGCGGAAAATTTCCCTTATAGTACACTGTATGGTGTAGCAAAAATTTCTCTCGTGGCATACTGCATGGCATATACCTCTCTTTATTAACCCTGTTGGTGTAGAATAGTAGGGTGTTAAACATGTATAACATACAGACTTACCAATAAGGTTGGTGTTACAAAGGTAAGACAAGGATTCTCCATACCACCATAGGGGAAAGATGGCGGCAATATCAGTAGATCATACTGACCCCAGGCATATTCTGTTAATAACTCTTCGCCTGTTTTTAACTGTTGCTCGGTCTGAAAGAATATCATAATCTGGGTAACTCCATTTCAAATTCTCTCAGCTTCCACAAACACGAATGTTAAATGTCTAAACAAAATAGCCCAATGTCTGTATGGTAAAGTTCCTATAGCAATTTTACTGCCAATCAACGGTAAGACGTAATGGAATTTGTGTAATGGCATTTGACACTGTATAGAAAATTAACGCTGAAGTTCACACGATTTGGGCTCTAGGGTCTAACTATACTACATTACTGGAAGTTTTTAGTTACTCTAAAAAAGGATAAAATGAGTATTTAAGCGAGGTAACGGAGTAGGTTCATTTTATAACAATTTTAAGTCCATTTAACCATACCTCTGCAAATTCATAGGCTGCATCATCAACAAATTCTTTCTCTGACCATACTTTAGATCTTGGACCAATATCTCTGAAAAAGGACAACTACATCTGGTAATTTATAGTATGATAATTATTTTTGAGAGAAGAAATTTAATGCAATCCATTTTGCTTAGGATTAAGAACTTTGCAGAAATGTTAAGCAAACTCTTTCTAGCTGGCGCTGAATTTTAATGACCATATCCTTTATATCGTCTGCAGTGAATGTCGATTATTGACAAATCTTCAAATCAACATATCAGTGTTTATTCTTTTTGGTGATTCAACTTTCAAAATACTGCAGTATGAAATGTCGACCAGAGATATTAATATACACAACATTTTTTTTATAATTCAAAATTCTTACCGACTTTCTAAATCTCCAGCTACGATCGCTAATAAATAACTTGGTATGGGAACGGCTTGATTAAACTTATAAACTGTTTTGGAGGGATCACCCTTACATGGTTCAGACCCTGTTCTTACTGCACTCATTAATACCGTTATCGCTTTGGGGGCTGTTACCTATAAAACAATCATCATTATGAGAGAGAGAGAGAGAGAGAGAGAGAGATGGGGTTTAACGTGGCCCACTCGACACAAACCGGGTCATTTAAGGACTAACATGGTTCAATTTTTTATTTCAATAATTCGCTTGTGCATAGGGGTCTTTAGCAGTGGGGGGAAACCGGAGGACCCGGAGAAAACCCACGAGGTTGGACAGGCGACCCTACTCCTTGTTACGTACAACCGGGGATTCGAAACCACGCTAGTTGACTCAATGACAGGCCTTATGATACAGCATGCACGTGCTAACCATTTGGCCACCCCCCACCCTGCCCCCACATCATTATTAAAATTAGGATTGGCTTAGTTCTACCCTTAAACAGGCATAATGTAAAAGCTAAATCTGCCTATTGCAGGTTTTTCTTCAGGCCTTAAATGTTATCTAAATTATTAATTAGGCATTAATTAACTTATCAAGACCATAATCAACTCTCGATGCCTCCGTTTGCCTGCGATATTTAGTGGATCTCACTACATTTTGTGATGGATGATTTGACGTATAAATGGATAATCGAGACTTTGTTTATTATCGTAATGGTGTAATGACGATCGAGGCTAGCCTAAAACTGAATCGCTAATATCTCGTTTCAGCGTGAAACAATCTGACAGAAATTTTCAGCATAGTCTGTTTTCGTTATCTATTTTGCTAAGTGTCGGCTCTTTATCTATCTTGAAGGATAGTATTAAAATAAAGCCTACGTGGTTACATTTCTTCAGAGACCAGATATTTTAAGTACTTTAATGTTATAGTACTATTTGTTTAATTCCAATTATTTTTTACGAGCACGCCAATGTTCAATCCAAACCACACTTGAAAATCCGAAAGAACCTTCCCTGCCAACACCGGGATGGGTCCCTAGCCATACCCACTGAGCTTACTTTTACGACCGTTGACCGGTCTTAATTTTCTGGATTGCCAATAAAACCCGAAATCAATAAATGTCTTATAAAAAAAGTGTGTATACCGATGCCGTATATGGAAACTTGATTGCTGGTGAATCTTGACATGGATAAAGACTTCTGGCATGGATGGCCTGAAAAAAATGTATACAATAACATTGAAATAATCATTCTGGGTTATAGTATACGCTAGATGTTTCTGGGTAAAGTATAAATCATATACCTCCAGTTACACTCTTGTAATACTTAAATTGCGTAATATAATTTCTAAAATGAAATTGCTATGCCTAGATAGGTAATAAAACAAAGCGGCTCTCACCCTACCTCACACTGACTAAACAGATAAGGGTGTCTCTTTCCAGCTGTTTGCTGAGCTGTCAACCATTGTAAGGCTGTGCATTTTGGTGAGGTTTCATAGTTGATGGATATTGTCACACTAGAAAAGTAAATGTACAAAGCAATGATTAGTAGCAATATATATAAAGGCATGATCAACAGAGTCATGCGGATGGGACAATAATGAGTGTCGGCACCGAATGTATCAAGTTGAGTTGATGGGAGAGAATATAAAACATCAACATGTTTAGCTTTTTCTCGGAATATAGGTATTTAAAGTTGCAATATTGTTATTAATTTATAAAAACCATCAAACTTACTGAATCACAATCTCACACATTTCTCAATTACAACGTTTGAAAACTATATTTCTTAACTTAGTTGGTTACCAAATTAAGGTGTCTTTACGGTGACCATATCGGAAACTAAACAAGAAGCATTACTCGAGAATGTAGCAAGTACTGGCGCTTAAACTGTTAGAAATTTAAAATTAATGGATATTCAACAGCCAGAATGATAAAATGCTGGTTAATGTCGATAGACCATTCTTGCTTGCAAATCGCCACTTTAAAAGTCCAACAAGCGTAGAGAGGTATGTATTTTATATTAGTTATATTCTAGGTATATAACTGTGCATTACTAAAACAATTTGCTAACTTCATACGGGACTTACACTCTCCCTTTTCCGTACGTGTAACTCAATACAATATAAACATGGGGTTAATTGGGTTAGGTAGGATAAGGGGGAACACGGCCTTTTTTCTTGAGGGTGGGGGGTGCCCTAATCTGGAGGGGGGGGGTATGGTTTATGAAAGAATTCGGGCGAAGTTTGACCAAATATTTTGTCGTGTTTTACGTGCACTGTGTGCATTCCATTCCAAACAACAAGACACGATTCTATGTCAATTAGAAAATGAGTAACACCTGCCTTGCGAGAATCAGACTTTAAAAAATTACTTACGATTTTGTTTGTGGCAGCTTTACCTCTAGTTTTGAACCGAATGGTCCAACAGGATCCGAGACCGTAAAAGTTAGAGTTTGGTTGGTATCTACATCGCAAGCCCTCAAAACTTTTATATCACGAATATCCAATATCTGAAGAAAAACGTACAGACTGTATTAATTATATAAGTATTTTCAATCCATGTATCCCACAACGATTGGGGTATAGATATCGATTCAAAATATGGAATTCAACCACCACAGTAATTAAAAAAACATTTTCAAGTTGAACGTTTCAATTTTCTTATTTTACAAATTCAAACATCTATTAGACACATGTACATCGGGCTGTAAATTCCAAAGAATAAAAAAAAACATCAAATACATTTTTAAATATTAAAATAACCAGCGGTTGCCAGACAAGATGCGCGCACATTTTGCACGAGATGGATAGAGAACAAGCTAAGCTAAAAACAAAAGCGATTTTTCGTACAATGAGGGGCCATAATCCAGAAAGTTATGGTCTGAAATGCGCAAATATCGAAAGGGACTGAGATTTTTGGGATATAAAGATATATACTGAGCGCCATGAAAAACGCATCACTTAGTTTTTCGTGTAACAAAATGATCCTGTAAACATATCTTATTTATTTTGCTTCTTATTGTGAACAATATTCAAATGGGAACACATCAATAACAACACATTTGTTTTTAATCTGTAATCAACGGTACAAAGTTAGAGGAGTCAAAACCAAAAGTATGACACAGATGTCAGTAGCGCGTGTGTCCTCCACGGGCTCTTACGCACGCTGTGCAGCGACGTCGCATGGAATTTACAAATGTTTGAAAGAAGGCCTGGGGCGTCCAATCTCATCCCAGACATGTTCTATGGCCAGTCCAAGACATTGATGTTGTTAGTAGCCAGGTAGTCCATACTAAAACGGGCGATATGCGGACGTGCATTATCCTGTTGGAAGTGCTGAAGTTGTTGGTGCTCTCGAAACATCGGAACAACAATTGGTTGCGAGACATCATCACGGTAGGCTACAGCATTAACGCGACCCCTGCAAATGTGTAGGGCGGTCCGGTGATGAAATGTGAAGCCTCCCCATACCATTACACTCCCCCCCCATCGATTCGTTTGGAAAACGCAGCAGTCTGCAAGATGTTCCCCAAGACGTCTCTACACACGTTGATGGCCATCAGCGTGATAAAGATGAAAGCGACTCTCATCACTGAAGAGCACAATTTGCCAGTCTACTCTTCTCCATGTCTGGTGTCCTTGAGCCCATATCAAACGCCGCTGACGGTGATGATCCCTGAGGATAGCTCCAACATAAGGTCGTCGTGCACGGAGTCCTACTTCTCTTAGACGACGTCTTACGGTGTTGGCACTTACTGGTCCTTGTCTTCCGAAGACTGCTGCACCTGTTCGAGTCGCTGGGCGGAATCTGTAACGCAGATGAGTGACCCGGATGTAGCGGTCTTGAGCCTGGGTTGTAACGCGTTGTGGACCAGGACGTTGACAGTCACGTGTTGATCCAGTAACTCGAATACGTTCCACAAGCCTTACAATAGTGGACTGATGACTGAGAAATGAAATGGGGTTTAACGTCCTACGCTTCTGCACCTAACCTGGGCTAATTGAAGATGGGCATATGCCATACAGTGTGCTATGAGGGAAATTTTGCCCAGGCAGCGGCGCTACGGCCTACTCTTATATCGAATTCCAACTGCCAAGGGATCTTTTACATGCACGCCAATGTGTACACGGACCTCGGTTTTTCGTCCCATCCGAACGACTAGGCAGCTGTCCTTGTCAGGCCCTCCGTTCTGCATCACTGACAAGGGGAAACCAAGCCAGAAAATCGAGATGAACTTTCTCGGCCAATGCAGGGATCGAACACCCGACCTCCAGGCTAGCGAGCCAGCGCCTTACCCACTTAGCCATGTGATCCCCTGGACTGATGACAATTGAAGTGTCTGGCCATAGCACGTGTAGACATGCCAGCCCTGGACATTCCCATGGCTTCATTCCGTTGATTTTCAGTAAGTCTCGGCATCTCTAGCTCAATTCCTTCACACGTCCAACAACAAATTACGACAGATTGACGTTTCACAGTTCATGTACTGCACATTAAGTTGAAAACATGCTTTTAAAGGGCTCACACACAATGCTGCACGTGAATATTGGGGTTTTCATGTGCATCTCGTGCAATTTTTTTTTTTTTTTTTTGCACAGGGGCCGATATTTTTAGCGTTTGGGAGCGTTGTGTGCAACAATAGTTCATAGTATTGCATAATATTATACATACAAAACCACCTAGTAATAAAATATTTGGGAAAAAAAAGTGATGCGTTTTCCATGGCGCTCAGTATATTTTAAGTTTCATCAATATCGGATAAAAATTGTGACCTCTAGAGGGTCCATAATCTTCGCATTACATACTTTTACACAAATTGCGTACAAAGTGTGGCCAATTTGGCGGGCCGTCTCGTTTCGATTTTCCCGAAATTCAAATTCAACCTTCATTATGGTGCATGGAATGGTGATATATTTAAACGTTTTTTTAAAATCGGGTAAAAATTGTGACCTCTATTATATGATCCACAATTACGATTTTCCGTACAATCAGGGGCCATAATCCAGGAAGTTACAGTCTAATATGCGCGAATATTGAATGGAATCTAGATCTGTGGGTTATACACATAAATTTCAAGTTTCATCAAAATCTGATAAAAATTGTGACTTCTATGGGGTCCACAACCTTGGTATTACATACCTTTACACTATAATATATGTGTACAAGAAGCGGCCATTTGGTTCGGCAGTTTCGGTTCAATCGGATAAACATTGTGACTTCTAAAGGGTCAACAACCTTGGTATTACAACCTTTACACTATATGTGTGCAAGGAGCGGCTATTAGGTTCGACAGTTTCGGTCCAATTTTCACGAAATTCGAACTCAGCTGGCATTATGATCTAACGGTGATATATTCGATTGTGGACGGACGGACGTTCGGGCCAGAGGCGTAGCCGTGACATATATATTGGGGGGGTCCGCAACCCTAACCCCTAACCCATTTTTTAAAACCCCTAAAAAATATAAACAAACACCATGTGGCCATGCTGTCTACCAAGACACCGCGTGCAAAAGCATTATGGTTACATTGCTGGCTGAGCGGGCGATAAATATTTGGTTTAGGCGGTTATGTTTTTGGGTACCTACATGCGATTCACTCTGATAAGTGGCAGAAAAAAATTAACAAAATATTACTGACAGGCAAACTAGACACAATTTTACGGAACACAGGTACTTTTCACTTCACACGTTTCCGTGGATATTGGGATATGTACAGGTTTTATACAGATAGAATCTTAACTAATCCTAATAATTGTTGTAAATAAATAGGAGTTTGGGCCTACTATGTAAATTTTTGGGGGGGTCCAAGTATATTCAGACCCCACCCCGACCCCCACCCCCCCATGTACGTGTGACGCCCATGGTCCGGGCGCGCAAACAGGGGTGACGGCATAATGCGTCCACATGAAAATGTGGGCATATAAAAACACCTGATATTCACGCGTTAATTATTTGCATTATAGATAGGTTACAGTCTGTTTATTATATATCAGGACATGTTTGCACGTGACAGATTACGTGATATTAATGGATCCTCTTTTTTTAAAAAATAAAAAAAAATACCATTAAATTAATTATACTCGTAGTTCAAGAACGTTCATGAGAATTTTAAAAAGTTATGCTGATCTGCGCCTTCATTTAAATTCTCTGAGAAAAAGTCCTCTCAAAATAAGTTCCCCAAGATATTACTAGTGTTCTTGGCTTTCTCCGAGAACTGAGTTTCCTAAGAAATCTAAATTTATTTACTGATCTAAAAATCTTTTGTTATGTTCCTGTGTGGCCGATTTTCTTCTTTTGTCTAACACAACAGCATATACAATTTACAAGTTTTTGATACGTTTAGTTTCGTTATACATAATACAATACCTTTATTTTTGTGAATAAAAGACGCGGAAATATTTTCATAAATTCACATTGACATTGAAAAAAAAATACATAAAACCTTATACCAAATAGCACTTGCATAACATTTCTTGATTGTTTGAAAAAATACTTGGAATATGCATTATGTTCTTTGGCCTTGTGTAAAATAAAATATATAGGCTACACGACAGAACGCTAAAATTAAAATATGGCCTACTGGCAAATGCCTCTATAAACTAGAGTAGATCGTAGATGTTTCAATTCTATCATAAATCCTAGAAACTTGTTGAATATACTTGACGTGAGATAAAAGTGGGCCGTTATAAATTAATAATTCGACCCACTGATTTTAAATAAAGATAATCATTTATGTATTTATGTCATTCCGATCATAAAGTGAATTCCAAAACATGATTAAAAGTGTCTGAAGACTAACTATCATATAGTGAAGAAATGGGAAAATGAACGAGGATTTACAAATACAAACAATAAAAAGAAAATCCTCGAAAAGGTAATCAAAATTCTTATTTTTAAAACAACCAAATAAGCATCAAATCGAAGGTTACACGCCTGTGCAGTAACTAGCCCAAATGAAGTTGACAACAACGCCGACGCTAATCATTATGAATACCGGTTAATAACGATAAATCGAAAGTAGCGACTTATAGCTAACAAAGAAAGACACTTACCACGGAATCTATATCAGATGCAATCCTTTCTAATGTTAGAACCGCTGTTCCGGACAATACCTGGCGTTTAAAATCTACTTCCAAGTCCAAGTGGACGGATTTTACGATGCACAAGTCCGGACGAGAGAAGGAGCACGGATCACATGCACTCAGTTCAGCCATTTTGGATAGAGGATAGCTTTGGTTATCCAGCTGGTAAGTCGCGATTGACTAGTCCACACTTCTAAGAAATAGTATTTTTCTGACAACGTCTAGTGCTAATAATAATAAGTATTTCGAGATTCAGATCTATGCATATTTATGTATTAGAAATACAGTTTTAAATCTGATTTAATTATTGTTCGTAATAAAATATAAATTTCTAGGCAGCTTCTATTAAAAGAGAAAATTTTCCTAATCTTTATTCGGAAAATATTTGAATAAATAATATTTTGAAAAAAATTAACATATTTATTTGCCACCCTATAATAGGGCATAGGATTGTTCCGTTAGATTTGAATGGATTATATTCGCACAGTAATTTTGTCTTGTGTATTTGGAAGAGTGATAAACATCGAAGAGGCACGTGATATGACTAAAATTATACCCCCATTGCGTGATACGTATCCGTTAGAACAAAACAAAAAAAACCCATAAAATATCAGTATTTTGGCTCGCTACGCTGACATCCCCCAATTTGAATTTCGTTTCCACAGGCGTGTTTGATTGTAAATCACATTCCAATACCATTAATAGATGTACATTACGGATCAAAGCAAACACCTCTATACTCGTAATTAAATCTATATTAAAAAAAACTATAAGGACATTTATGAGAATTTAAAAAGTTATGCTGATCTACGCCTTCCTCTAAATTCTCTGAGAAAAAGCCTACTCAACATGAGTTCTCCAAGAAATTATCAGTGTTCTGTTTTTTGCTTCTTTAAGAACGTGGTTTCCTAAAAAATCCAAACATATTTATATTGTAAATCTATTAAATCTTTGTTAGTAACCTGTGTAATTAAGTTACCGTATATGCCTTATTCTTTTGTCTAAAACTATAATGCGCCGTTTTCTTATATTTATTGGGGGATCACGTGGCTAAGTGGGTAAGACGCTTGCTCGCTAGCCTGGAGGTCGAATGTTCGAGATCCCGGCATTGGCCGATAAAGTACATTCAGAATTTCCAGCTTTGGTTTCCCCCTTGTTTGTGATGCAGGATGGAGGGCCTGACAAGGACAGTTGTCTAGTCGTTCGGATGGGACGAAAAACCGAGGTCCGTGTACACATTGGCGTGCACGTAAAAGATCCCTTGGCAGTTTGAATTCGATATAAGAGTAGGCCGTAGCGCCGCTGCCCGGGCAAAATTTCCCTCATAGCACACTGTATATATGGCGCATGCTCGTCTTCATTAGCCCAGGTTAGGAGCAGAACAGTAGGATGTTAAACCCCATTTCATTTCATTTCTTATATTTATTGATGAGTTTAGTTTAGTTCTATGCAATGCCTTTTATATAATATATAATAGTATACACTATAAATATGTGTAAGATGTACGAACTGCAGTAAAACTATAGCAATAAAACTCTAATGTCACAGAGAAATTTGGTGTATTGCGGCTCATATAGCATTCAATAATAGTAACAGAATAATAAGTTAATTTTGTTATACTGTTATTTAGAGGCGGTGGGACCCTAGGGCCCCCACTTGGAGCCGCCACTGATTATCTGCAATTCTTTGTAATCAGTGATCTTCACGTGAGGTTGTGTCGCTGATTCTGATAACTGATCTAATGGTTTATATATACCGGTGGCTTATCACCATATACAGTTACTGTATATTGAACTTTGAAAGGACTACAAGTACCTTACAGCGATAGAAACATATTTACGTAGTTACGTATCTGTAAGTGTTAACGTATAAATAATTTGGCTCATGTAAGTATTCCAATTAATTACCAAAATCACAATTTCTAATACCCTCTATCCATTTCAATAGGCCTGATCTGATTCCTGTGGCTCGACCCATTTCAATAGGCTTCATCTGATTTCTATAGCGCGATCTATTTCAATAGACTTCATCTGATTCGTGTAGCTCGATCTATTTCAATAGGTTTGATCTGCTTCCTGTAGTCCGATCTATTTCAATAGACTTCATCTGATTCGTGTAGCTCGATCTATTTCAATAGACTTCATCTGATTCGTGTAGCTCGATCTATTTCCACGTCTGTCAGCATGGTGAAACATTTCCTTATGCGAGAAACAAAGGTGAAAATTTCATAGACAATAAAGTAGCCAACAACGTATACTCACACAGACAGTACCTTATAGATGTAAACCGAGATACCCTACACAAGCTGGCCGTGAACGTAAACAATCAACCACGACGTTGCAATTTTAAGCAAGAGAATAAATTTTGTTATTCAAAATGGCCTAACTTATTTATCAAATGGAACCACGGTGGCTAGGTGGTTAAGACGCTGGCTCGCTAGCCTGGAGGTCGGGTGTTCGATCCCTGCATTGGCCGAGAAAGTTCATCCGGACTTTCCGACGTGGTTTCCCCTTGTCAGTGGTGCAGAACGGAGGGCCTGACAAGGACAGCTGTCTAGTCCTTCGGATGAGACGGAAAACCGAGGTCCCGTGTATACATTGGCAGTTGGAATTCGATATAAGAGAAGGCGATAGTGCCGCTGCCCGGGCAAAATTTCCCTCATAGCACACTGTGTGGCGTATGCCCGTCTTCATTAGCCCAGTATAGGAGCAGAACAGTAGGACGTTAAACCCCATTTCATTTCACTATTTATCAAAAGGCCAACTGATCTCCTTCCCCTTTTTTGTATGGGATTAAAGATTCTGTTATGACACTGGGCGTATCGCGTTATGATATACGTAGATTGATCTCATATTTTGCATACATCATTATCGAAAGTCTAGTCAAAGTTTTAATTATCAGTTCTTATCATCAAAGATAGGGTTTCTCTGGTGATAGCACCTAATAATTTGAACCTTGTTTTACTTTAGTTTGAACCGTCACTTCAGATACAGAAGACTAGATTTGGGCCGTTACATTTTATCTTAAAATGAACATATGGGCGAAATTTGGGAAGCATAATATTTTAAAAATCTTCAATCTCAATTATCATGTTTCAGAACTAGAAAGTGTGTGAACATTATGGTTGAATAACGTTGACAATGGCCAGTGTGACGTCCGACAATGCGGGTTTATTAGGAAAAACTAACACAGAGGATTTAATATGGATCATACCTACGGCTATTGCAGTCATTGTTCTACTGTGTTTGACTGCCTTGGGATTGTTTCATTGTTGTTTGGGAATCGGCGACTGTTTCTTTGATTGTATGTACAAGTGTGGCTGCTACAGACGGAAACAAAGGAGTTATGATATGGACGAGCGAGTACCTTTAACGGAACACCCTATGCCTATGTATGAATCATCTGGAAATCGAGGTAAGGTTTGCTGGACAAAAAATGAATTTTAAATTACGTTACCTTAGATGGCATTTATTATTCTTGCGTCGCCTTTTTTGTTAACACACATTCAAAATTTCAATGCCTATGTCACGTTTCGTCTCATAGTTATATATAAGTGGTGACTGCTGCTATGCCGTGACACGTATCGTGCACTGGACCCATCGTTGAAATTTGTTGTGGCAAGCTCATGCATGCACCGAACTGTTTTTCAGTTAGTTTTTATATTAGCTCATTATAAAAGTTTCAAATGCATTAAACTTAACTAGTCCCACAGAGTATCTTATTGTTTTATCTTTTAGTAATCTGATTAAAACACAGATCCTATTTCGTTTCGTTTTTTATAGTTCAAAATTTTGTTTTACTTGTCTTCACTACACGAGGGTCTGGAAGGGTTGCTATATAACCCGAGTTCTGGTTGATGTGAGAGATTAGCCAATGAAACCGTCTATTGCAGCGAGTTCTTGGCGTACGATGCACGGAACTGTGGGTATCCCACTAAAGACATCAACACTGATTGGTTAATCAAATGTCCGACGTCATAGGATCAAATGCAGCACGTTTGACCCTTGACACGACCTCCCACTACAATTAGTCAGATCTTCATGAAGTAGAGGCCATCGAAAGTATAAAAAAACGAAATGAAATGGCCGCCATGTACAAATATTAGTATACTATTTTGTTGTGCTGTTCTAGTCCGTTTTACAAATATTTTCAATTACATTAGATATGAAAATGGGAGCACCATAAAAATATTCTCAAAATTCTCGAAGCATAATACTTAGTGTTTTCAACCTAAATCGTCGATATAGGAATTAAAATGTCAGTCAACTAGCTACGTGTTTATTTTCAAGCGGAGCTTATTGCGAACAGGCAGCGTAAGTTTCTGTGTAGCAAACAAAATACAATTGATGTTCGATGGTATGATAGTCAGGAAATTATACAAATCTGCCTGTAACTAAACTGTATATTATTATTATATTTCAGAAACAACATATTTCCAGATGTCTGAGAGAAACCGACATTGACCTTAATAATTGTACAATGACTGAATGAAAGAAGAGGAATGGATAAACACTGGATGCATTAATAAATCAGACAAATTTCCTTGTGACAATGTCGATCATTAGCTTACTGATAAAGAACGCGTGTATTTATAGAATATTGCCTTGTGATATGGTGTGACTACTGATAATACACATAATTAATTAATTACAAAAAGAAGTCTTTGCAATAACTTAACTCGCATTACAAATGCAGCGTTTTACTCGACGTTTCTGTAAATATCTTGTTTTTGAGCATGTGTGTTCTGCCTATGTAAAATAGAAAACAGGGCGTCATATAACTTTTGAGATGTTGTGCACAACGATAATCATATGCAGTTATTTTGTCCAAAAAGCAAACTAAAAAGCCAAAAAGATTTATGTGTTGTTATTTAATACCGCTTGTTGTCTGCAGTATATGCTTTACAATCCATGCTTTGTCAAGTTCTAAAATTTCTGAATTAGCCCTGGCCTCAATCTGCATCACCTGAAGTTTCTCATTTCTTTCTTTTAAAAATGAATGACACCGATATAGCGATTTGGTTCAGTTCCCGGTTTGAGTTTCTTCTTTAATTGTTACCTATCTAACTGTTCCGTTTCCGTATGGTATTCATTTTATAACAGATAAGACTTGATTTATACCATTGCTTTATTTTTTCATTGTCTGTACGCAACTCTCTGTTTTAATTATTTTTAACAACTGCAATATAATTTGGTGTTTTATAATATGTCACTTATTTATAGCTTGTTTACTCATTATTATTAGGCCTACCGAGAAGTATATTGTATAGATGAAGGCAATTGTGTATTAGTATCATAATTTGGTGTTTTATAATATGTCACTTATTTATAGCTTTTTTACTCATTATTATTAGGCCTACCGAGAAGTATATTGTATATACTGTATGTAGACCTGTCATCTTACTTACAAAATATGTCGAGGTGGAGATCGTTTCGGTTGCATCTAAAAAAGCTTCACTAAAAAATGAGCCAACCCGCGATACTGAATAATGTAGAACCTTCCATTATGTATGAAACTATATAGACATTGTAAATAACTGCGTAATGAAATAATAATGAACAGAATTATGCTTAACTCCATGGATTTTAAATTGAATTTAGAACTATTAAGAGTCCGACGATTGGTTTAGTGTTGTCATTATTTTATTCTCACAAGACTACCTTCAAAATACCTAGCATAAATTTGTCAATAAAGCGATATACCCTTTCTCATCATTATAACTGCAGGGTAAAGCACACCCAGAGCATCTGCTTCTAGGTGTTACAAATACTGTTTAAGAAAACAAATAGGTCATTTGATGTGGCTTAAAGTATATCAATTTTTAATAGATGAATCGTTGATTTTATTTTAACACAATATACTATAAAATAATATTTTCTTTCAGAAAGTGCTAATGCCTCACGCGTGTATTACAATTTCCATCACAATGCCCTACCGAGTATTGCAATTTCCATCACAATGTCCCAGCTGGTATTACAATTTTCATCACAATGTCCCACCGAGTTCTAAAAGTCCCATCATAACATTTTCTGGCGTGATTGTTTCAGTCGTGCAGGATGGAGGGGTGACAAGGACAGCTGCTCGCGTGCACCTAAAAAAAAAATCCATTGGCAATTGGAATTCGATATAAGAGTAGGCCGTAGCGCTACCCAATGTATGGAGTATGCCCGCCGTCATTAGCCCAGTTGGAGCAGAACAGTAAGACGTTAAACTCCATTTTCATTTCACCTCATAACGTAAATGATGAGGTAACTCCTATACTTTCTATATCTTGTTGAAATGATATAACAGCCAATATTCAACTGCTAGAAATCTAATATATCGTCGATATAATTATGCAAACCTAAAACCTCTCCGTAATTTTGGAGAAGGGAGTGACAAAAAGCCATTTGGAGGCAGACCACCAAATATTTTCCAGTTCCATTGGCTTTAATGTCAACTCTTGTCGTTAAAATCCACTTCGTTTCAGTTCGTCTCAGTGTCCCTTTACTAAATATTTGTTGGAATTTATGCATTGAATTCGAGGGCGGGAAAGAGATTTTTTATGCATCCATTAGGTTTCAATTCGCTTAAGTTATAACCCTCTATGTTATATCGGGTGGACCAGTTTACATAAACAAATTACGGCAAAATGGGCACAAATAAGCTTAGAAGAAACAAAAAATTCGATTTCTGTGGAAAAAGCGTTTACCCACTAGCCAGACGCGGGGAATGTAAACTGAGGTGAGCGTAATGTGACTTCTCCGTCCGGTAAAACAAGATTTGATATTCATTTTTAACACTCGTTATTTGGGGCGAAATTGTCAAACATACATATTTTACGACATATGAAATGTTAATGATATAAGTACAATTCTACAATACTTCTTGGATTATATTCCACTTTAGATAGTGTTCTCGGTTTGTCGTCCCATCCTAACGACTATATACGTTGTCCCTTGCCAAGCTCGCTTTCTTGCGCCACTGACAAGAAGAAACCAGGACAGAAAATTCGAAATTGGAACTATATCCACCAACGCCGGGATCCATCCTGGAACCTCCTAGCTGCATTATTGTAGCGGCGTCTGTCCTGTCCGCCGCGACAATTGATGCAATCATAGGGTTTGCACAAGTGAAAATAGCTTCTAACGCAACATTCTCAACAAATGTCATTACAGTTTGCTTCGAAATAAGTAATTCTGTGAAGAGTGGGCCACTGAAATAGTTACTGAACAGTTTTACTTCATTTTCGAAGTGACGTTTAATCACGCGCGTGTCTAAAATTATGGTTTGGCGACCATTTTATAAACAAAGAAATACCACGAAGTTATGTGGTATAAGGTTTCATCTTTATTTCAACGAGAATTGATTTATTATATGTATAGCTATGTGCAGTTTAAATGGAAATGTTATAAAAGGAGTTCCATCAAATGATCACAAAACTTGCGCAAAGTAAGTCCTCATAGAACATCCACTACTGTGACTGGAGGCAAGAATACGGGAGCAAGGGTTTTCGGCCCATCCAAGTAACAAGATGGTGTCACTTGCCAGGCCCACCTTACTGCATCACTGACAAGCGGAAGCTAGACTGGAAATTGCAAGGAACTTTCTCGGCAAACCCTAGGATAGATCCCGAAACGTCCAGGTTAGTGAGGCAGCGACCTACCCGCTGAGCCACCGAGTTGAATATATGTTAGATTTCATCTTCCCACCCACTGAAAATTATAATGGCATAAGTTCGATGAGAAAAATTAATCACGCTATTTTCGTTTTCTCGTCATATCACTTATTTTTCGCCGCGATGGGACCCAAGAAATACAGTTGGTGCGAAGGCCGAGGGAGACCCAGTCCACCCAACCCCTATATCTACATTATTCCTTTAAACCCTTTACGGGTCGAAGTTTTCAAATTGTAATAAATAATGGGGAAACATTATTAGTAGTGCTGTTCCATAAAAATCGACCCGATAGACTCGGTTATCAAAGATAATAACAATGTAGACTACATGATCCAGACCACTGAATTCCTGTATTATGTTTATTTATAGCTAGGTGATCCCGACCTAATAAAACGCGTAGTTATCGATCGCCAGTTTGATTGGGGATTTTCCTTTCGACGTCATATTTATCACAATACAAATATCCGGGTACATTTTATTTGATATTATGTCGTAGTTTCCTAAAACAGCTAGGATCGGCATAGATAGACAATAATATACTCAACACACAAATAGTCTAACAGTTATTTTATAACACACTACATGAAGGAGAGGAAGTGGCAAAATGGAAAATATGTTGTATGTAGTATGTTCTGTTATATTACTGGTCTATATCTCAGGTAAGCATGTTAATGTTTAAATTGTGACCGACTCTCTCTCTTTAATTTATAAACTGTTACATCTAGTAGGCCTATTATTCAATCTGAATTAAAGTTATAGGTCGTTAATTAAGGTCGATTGTTGAATACAAAACCGGTTATATATCTCATCTAGTTGCAGGAAAGTTATAGTTTTAACGATAACAAATTTCAAATTAGAAAAAAAAAATAATAATAACCCCAAATCGGCACTTAAAGCGATAATTTCATATTTTTAAGTTATATTTTTAAAATGTATTAAAATAAAGCCTTAAAATAGATGGTATCTATAAAAAGTCATACCTTGTTAAAGAATAATCCTATTAATCCTATAATTCACTATTGCCAGTTGAGAAATTGGCAAAAATATCATTTTCAACTTCAAATTCAAACGTTTGAAGATAGCTATTATAAAAACAAGGGAGGTAATTGTGTTATTATTTCCAGGGTGAATGATTTTTAAGTGTGAGAATGATACCTATGATCGTATAATAGTGAGTTGACAACCTATTGAGCAAAAGACATAGAAATAATTATGTTTTGAGTTTCTTAGAAAATATGAAATTTTCGCTTTAAAAATCGTCATACAGACTCGTTGTTTACTTTTGACCCAAATCAAAGAGATCTTGCTCTTTTTACTTTCATTTGAATTATGTACCGGTAGGCCTACGTGTAAAAAATGAGAAGCGAAAGATTTATATTATATTTATATTCCATTTTATAGAAATAGAATATTAACTGTAGCCAATGATTTTAAATACTTGTTGATATTTATGATTATAGAAGATATATATATCAACTACATGTATAACAATTCTTATCTAGCTAACTTGCTCTATATTTATTTACTTAGCACCTGGTGTAATTTAACTACACACACTTTGAATGGTTGAGTAAATATCCTATAGAATATACATATATAATAAGTCAGCCATCTGTAAATATTACTTTAGGTAAACTATATATTAAAGATTTTGTAAGGGCGTTAATGTTTCTAGACTTATCCCCCCACCCCTTGAAATGTTGTGCCGTTGCTTCGAGCACATCATTGGTCAGCTTACATTATAGTTTGGAGCATTAAGGCCACAGAGAAGATTTTTCTTTTGTTATAAACACCCGAGAGGAGCAACATGTTCTTAAGTCACGCTATTACGATAATGTGTGGAGTTTATTTTATTACAATTTACAAGGTGGTATGTTTATCAATTACAATGTACACCGTGATCTGTGTGTCTTATTATAATGCACAATGTATTCTGTTTACCAATTAAATGTATACAATGTGGTCTGTTTATCTTATTACAAAGTACAGTGTGGTGTGTTTATCTTATTGAAAATGTTCACTATGGTCTGTTTATCTTATTACAATGTACAATGTGGACTGTTTATCTTATTACAAAGTACAATGTGGTCTGTTTATCTTATTACAAAGTACAATGTGGTCTGTTTATCTTATTACAAAGTACAATGTGGTCTTTTTATCTTATCACAGTGTACAATGTGGCCTGTTTATCTTATCACAGTGTACAATGTGATATGTTTATCTTATTACAATGTACACCGCGGTCTGCTGTTTATGATGGACATTCGTCTGCTGTTTGGTGGTTTCTCTGTCTTTAGCAATTCATTCTCAACATGTTAAAAACTTAAAATCTTTCAAACATTTATATTACAGGATGTGAAGGTAGTTTTTGTAAGAAACGGAATCCTGCCAGTGTATTTGGAGAAGATACAGAAATATGTACCGTGGGTTGTTGTGGACCTAGTGGAGATCAGTACTGCTGTATCAGGTAAACAACTGAAGCTTTGAAATTATTTTGTCACGACAAAAAGGGTTAAGGACCATTCATAATAATTGAGAGGTGTGATTTACTTATATAAAACTAAACTTTGTTTATTCATTTAACTATGAAGCCAGAGTGGCTAGTCTGGAGGTCTCGTGTTCGATCCCTGTGTTGACCGAAAGAGTTCATCAGGAATTTCCGGCGTGGTTCCCCTTGTCAGTGATGCAAAACGGGTGACCTCTTAATGGACGAAGTGTTGTCATTCGGATTATACAAAAAAAACTAGGTCCTGTGTACGTATTGACGTGCACATAATAGAACTCTTTGACAGTTGGAATTCGATATAAAAGTAGGTATAGTAGTGACGTTGTTCGGGCAAAGTTTTCCTCGTGGCATACTGTGTGGCGTACATGCCCGTCTTCATTAGCCCTGTTGGTGCAGAACAGTAGGACGTCAACCCACATTTCATTTCAATTTAACTAAATGCAGCTCAGTCCATCTGATAGCGAACCTTCTAGAACACTCCTTATTTGAAACACGGCAAATAGTCAGATGTCGCTGTTTAACCAAGTGTCTGGTTTGGCTTGAAACTTATTTGTTTTTAATTGATTTGACTTTAACTTTCCTTGGGTAGTCTTTGGCATACTTGCGAGCTAAATGGTGGGTTGAATGGGTGCTTCATAAAGACAATGGGAGGGAAGCTGAAGCGACACAATACATCAAATTGGTACATAACTGAGGCGGTTGCACTCGAGCTCAATGCACTAGGAACTGTACCAAAGTCGTTTCCAATTGTCATAGGAAAGTTTAGTGTGACGGTCTCCTTAAATGTTACTTTTATATTTTAGTAATGGATTGTTCATAGGACTTATGTTTTTGAGTTTCATCGCAGTATTTGTTATTCTGGTGTGCACTGGCGTTTGTTATAGGAAATATCGACAACGAACTTTTGGCGCTGATGTGAATAGGACACCGTATGGATATCAAGCAGGTTAGTTTTCACAAGTTCATTTTAATCGTCCGGGGGATATTCTGCTTGGGTTATGAACTATTTCTGCAGGATATTTTTATCCAATGCATCAAAAATATGAAACAGTGTAAATTTGGGATAACGTTGACTGACTGCTTTTATGAGTACATCCCGATGTTGTGCGCCCAAACTGCAATGTGGTCATATAATGTTGTTACACCTGTCTAAATGCTTGTGGATACGCTAGGGGTTACAGTTCTCATCCGATTGACGTGCAATTTAATTATGGACGTTGGTCACTTAATTGTTACCTGAGATTTATATGTAGAACTGTATGTATCTGAATGTAGTTTGGTATAGACTTGCGATGCATAACAATTAAACAATCTTCTAGGCGCTCTTGTTAAATATAGACAACTAGGGTGACAGGTTGCAAATAACAGGCCATATTCACTGTGTCAAGTTACAATGACATGTGATACGTCTGATGCTATTAGTATTGACCTGATGATATGCATACTAACTAAATGGATGCCACCCTGGGTACTACTTTCGTAATCTATTGACACTGTTAAGATGTAGTTGACAGGGCACCATGTATATGAATTTAATATAATAAAAAATTACAATTTCACAAAATGTTCAATTACGTTTATAGAGTACATGTTATGCTATCGTCAGTTCATCAGTTAGAAATATAATTTGATATTTCAGGAATGCAACCAACTGTCACGTATATGAATAATCCAGCGGGAACAGGGTATCCTAATACTGCACCTCCGCCTTACTCTCATGGTCCTGGATATCAGAACAGTCCTGTAATCACCAATGGGTCCGGATACACTGCCAGTCCCGCCGGGTCTGGATTCACTGGCGGCCCTGTAATCTCCCACGGTCCTGGATTCGCCGGCGGTCATGTAACCTCCCATGGGCCTGACTACTCTCACAGTGGCTTTCATACTTCGGATTATGATGGAGGTTTTTCTAGCAAGTCTCACGACAATCACTCAGATACGCACAATACAGATTTTGGTGGAACATGTGGCGGGTTTTCTGGTACGTCAGATTCCCATGGAACATCATGTAATAACTCTAGTGATCCTTTTTGAGTGATTTGTGAAGAATAACTGTAAATATAAAGTATATAACACTTTGAATTATGATATCAATTGGGCGATACTGTATTCTGTGTTCAGGCAGCTTAGTCTCCAACTGTTTCAGAGTTTAATATAATATGGAGCTGAGTTATAAAACTAGACTTGGTTTAATGGACATTATGGGGAAAACACAGACTAAAAAACAACAGTGCACAATAGAAATGCCTAAAGCAGGTGGCAGCTGATGAAACTGAATGTTTGATCATTCCTGTACTCTTGCTCAATTTATGTATATGGAGACGGTGGTTATGGATTAAACAGGCATTGTGCAAGAGCTAATCTGCTGGTCTAGACATAATTTATTACCATGACATGACCATAATCAACTCTCGATGCCATGGGTAATTTGAATGAATATATTCATTTTGCATTATCTATGTTTGAACTATTATAGCACGGACGATTCACTCTTTATCTAAATCTTACATAATGCTTCTTAGAGAGATTACAAATCGAAATGCACTCAAATGTGGTTGTATTTTGCCGTCGCCAGTATCCACTGAACGCTCTATGGATATTTATTATTTGGTCCTTTGAGAGTTTACATTAGTGGGACGAAGAAACCTATTCATAATACTTTCAACAATTTCCGCTAATTACTCCGACATGCGTGAATATGTATTGTTCAGATTAGTGAAATAAGGGAGCCCCTGTGATTACTTCTAAAGGAAATGAAATGTGGTTTAACATCCTACGTATTCGCCATACAGTGTGCTATTAGGGAAACACTTATATCGGATTCCATCTGCCAAGGGATCTTTTACGTGCACGCCAGTGTATACATGTGATCTCTGTTTTGGTCCCATTCAAACGTCTATACGTTGTCCCTTGCCAGGTCTGTTGTGCTGTACCACTGACATGGAGGAACCACGCCAGATAATCCAGATGAACTTTGTCGACCAACGCAGGAATCGAACACAGGACCTCTAGGTTAGCAAGCCAATGTCTTACTCACTGCGCCACCGTGGCTCCAACTTCTAAAGGAATGAACCTTCCCGTAATCCCTGTGTAGAGTTTTGTGAATGCATTAACGACAAAATTCATCAACTTTAAATGGAACCTACGTTCTTTCTTTCGATTGTTCCCAATGAGTAAAAATTTTATTTTCAGATGATTACTTATTGTGTTGATACCCTGCTCCCTCCTGTAAAATACTGGTCACCACTGAGCTGTATTTTGGACTTTACTTGTCGGAAGCTTTCTCAGGGGCGGATCCAGGAATTTTTGCAGGAGGGGGTTTGCGTATATACATACACATTGAGCTTTTTAAACAGAGAAATTCAACACCTCGTTTGATGTCAATTTTTATTATGAATTAATACAATGACTTTGTCATTCAATTTCATGGATGCAAAGCATTAATTGTGATATGACATAATGTCTATATCATTATCTCGTGCTTTGAGTGCCCATGCTGTCCCACATCTGACGATAAAGGATTAAGAACACGGCCGAGAAACTTTTCTCATAAAAAGTACTGATTTACCAAAAAATTTATGTAGCTGAGCGGGGGGGGGGGGGGGCCACCCCCTGGATCCGCCCCTGATTTCTTTATTTATAGGTTGTGAATGTATTAAATATGTGCATCAATCTGATTAAAATACAGATCTATATTTCGTTTCGAATTTTTATACTTTCGATGGCCTCTACTACATCAGTTGTAGTGGGAGGTCGCGTCAGAGGTCATACGAGTGGCTTTTGACCCTATGACGTCAGATATTTGATTAATCAATCAGCGTTGATGTTTCTAGTGGGTTAGCCACAGTTCCGTACACCTCACGCCAAAAACTCACCATAACAGACCGTTTCATTGGCTAATCCCACACATCATCTAGAATGTGGGTTATATAACAACGAAATCCTAGTATAGTAAAGACAAGTAAAACGAAATTTTGAACTATAAAAAACGAAACGAAATAGGATCTGTGTTTTAATCAGATTGACTGTGCATTATATTGATTCTGATACATAAGCGGCCCAGTTATATTTATTTATTGTTGTTGTTTATTCTGTTGGCGATGTAGATATATTGATTTTCTTGACTGAGTAATTGCATTGAACTTTTTGTTTTGTATACTTTTAATAAAAAAAAAACCCAGTAAGATTGCAATTGGTTTGTTCATTTTCATTTTGGACATATAGGCTCTGAAATCAGTTCCAGCGTGATTTTTAAAATTTAAAATGCAACACTTACATAAGGTCCTGTATATAGCTTACCGGGTATAAATTAAGGTCCTCTGATGAAATGATGAAACATTTAATCATTGTGGATGAATTTGATAGGCATGTAAGTTTTCCAGTATTCCGTTCAGCTGAAAATATAATAATATATGCTAAAAATATCTACCCACATAAGAAATGGGGTTTAACGTCCACTCGACACACACACTAGGTCATATTGGGACTAACATTATGATTCTATTTTATTTCAATAATTCGCTTGCGCGTAGGGGTCTTTAAAAGTGGTCTGTCTCCACAACATTTTGCGGGTTATCTCCCCTGATATACCATGACAGATCACGTGATAAGTAACCAGGACAGCGAAAACAACATGGCAGCCTCCATCTCTCAAATATTTACTGAGTTTTTCTTCTTTTAAATCATAAAAAAAATGACTTCTATTTCTTAAAGCACGATGCCAACATCATCGTTGGTCATACATACACCGCTTCTATCACTGAATAGTCACAAACCACCAACCGTACTGAAATCAGCCGCTTATTTCGTTCGGTTGGCGTCCGCTCCTTTGTCGTTGTCACTGTCAGGAACTGGTGCCAACGACATTTACAGTAATAACGGACACCTGCTACTAAACCCAGATGAAACTGTGTGTCCTGGAAAACTTCAGACGCTTTCACCGGCTACAATACATTCAACTGAGCAATTGTCATTAAGCAGAATTCTTGAAGATATCTCTGCTTTATCCATCAATAGAGAAATTGAAAATCCTCAAAACAGTGAAAGTGAAAGTCATCCGTCTAATGACAATGGAGTTTTGAAGGAAAAGGCTAATTTTTCTAATAATGCACAGAAAAAGAAAAACTCAAAAAAGATTAGTAAGGGTAAGTTGTAGCTTAATATATTCTAATAATAAAGTTAAAGTAAGAGAACCTACCGTAATCTCTTTTTAAAAATAAAGCAAGGCTTATGTCGACTTTACAATTACAACTTGGAGTATCAACTCAGAACAACTGAATTGTGAGTGCTCATGTTGACTCCGAACTGATCAACAAAATGGCGAATACCTAAGAAGTCACACCCCATGCAAGGTCAGTCTTACAACAATTCTATTACTACATTATTGTCAACATCATCAACATTTGAAAAGTGGATGCCTTCGTTCGCTTCCATTTCGCCTAAAAGTCATATGCCTACAAACAATTAGAATAAATTACAAGTGAAATGGATTTATTTACTGCATACGTCCTACTATATATACTATTCAAAAAAAGTAGGGGATATTTGATTTTGGGGGCATAATACTAAAATATGCAAATGACTACGAAAAAAGTCACTATAGAACCTAACAGAAGAAACATTTCCAGTTACATGTGACGCCCAAACGCACCAATAGCTACCGCATGGAATGCAGGTGATGCTTGGGATCATCATGGGGGTCCAACCCAAGATTTGCACGACTCTGACTTTGAATGTTACAGTCATTGTGGCATTGAATTCCAGGGTGGAAACATCAGTTTAATTGTTTTAGTGACCAGAAAACAAATTTTGATATGCGTCGGCTTACCCAAAATGAAAGGTTACGTGCCCTTGGCATGCTACAGATCGGCACAACACAGGCGGTTGTGGCGCGGACGATGAATGTTTCTCAGTCTGTCATAAGCAGGCTATGGTCCAGATACCGTGATACACAATCTGTACAGGACAGACCACGCTCAGGTCGACCAAGGGCGACAACTCAAGCCCAGGATCGATTTATCCGTACCTTGGCCTTGAGAAATCGTGTCATCACAGCAAATCAGATCAGCGCTCGTCTTCAAACAGACACTGGTGTGAGAGTGAGTGGCCAGACGATTCGGAATCGACTGCATAGGAGTCACCTTCGCGCCCGACGTCCTCGCGTGATCCCTTGTTTGAGAGATCATCACATTCAGGCAAGACGTCGTTGGTGTAGGGATCGTCAACACTGGGATAATCGACGCTGGAGCAATGTGATGTTTTCAGATGAGTCAAGGTTCACTGTTGATTTTTTGGACAGACGTAGGAGGGTGTGGCGTCGTCGAAACGAGCGCTTCCAAGACGTTAACGTCATCAGACATGATCGATTTGGGGGTGGTTCTGTTATGGTGTGGGGAGGCATCACTGTTGCTGGAAGAACGGCTTTACATGTTGTTGCAGGGCGTGTTACAGGCCAGTACTACCGGGACAACATCTTGACAGTCCATGTTGTGCCGTTCGCACGACGTCATGGCCGCCGTTTCATCTTCCAGGATGACAACGCAAGATGTCACAGGGCCAGGATCGTTACAGGTTACCTCCAACAACAGAACATCACCACATTACCTTGGCCAGCACTGAGTCCCGACCTCTCCCCCATCGAGCATGTCTGGGACATGCTTGGACAGAGGTTACGTCAACGTCAACAGCGTCCTGCCAATGTCCAAGAACTTGCTGCTGCGTTGCAACAGGAATGGGACAATCTGGACCAAAATGACCTTAGACGTCTCATTAGGAGTATGCCACGTCGGATCAATGCTTGTTTGGCAAACAGAGGAGGATTTACCCGTTACTGACTTGGTTGTGATGCTGTGGTAACTTTGCTGTTTGACCCCGGGTATCATTTTACCCTTATAATGGTCAGTCTGTGCCTTACTTAGTCTAACGATCATTTGGAATAAATCGATGAATGTGAACTTCATTTCATTTTGTCATTTGTTTCTTCGTCAGTTTCATTAGGTGACTTTAATAACACTTAAAAATCAAATATCCCCTACTTTTTTTGAATAGTATAGTTGAATAATATGATCATTGTGTATTTTTAGGTAAGAATTCCAGAAAACGAAAAAGACAAAAAACACCAATGAAAAGTAAAGCAAGTGCTGTAGATTTACCAGCTGTAGCAAAATCATCTGCAGGACTGACAGCTGCATACAAAACATCAAAACTAGATCTTGGCGGAGCCCAATGCACAGCTATCAAAATACACCAGCCTCAACCTCAACCCCAACCCCGATACTATAACCAAGCTCCTGACAAAATGGTCAAAAATGGAGAATATTTTAAATCTGTGTACTCAAGTTCACCCTTTGGAACAAAGGCATGCCATTCGGCATCTTTATCTTTAACTACTCAGTCCCACAGAAAGAGTCGTAGTAACAACAGTGATTTTGGCCCCAGTGTTCGATCAGTATCTCCTAAAGTCTGTTTATCAAGACGTTCTGTGTCACAAGCTAATGATACATACATTAAAAGGATAACTAAGATTTATCAATCACAGTCTCAATCCGGTACAGTAGAAGTATGCGGTGTAGATCTACCTTGTGCCCCTCCAGCCACCCCGACCCCAGGTAATGTTTGATAATAAATGATAAACATCCTCTGATTTGAGTATAGAGAATGTTTATTGACATATTAATAGCTTGGTAGTTCTGTTTGTTTCTGCTGATATTTATTTTTATGGAATTTTTTCAGTTAATAATAATATTATGCTTCTGACTAAGAAAAATCACACCGTGTCATGCATATGAACCAGTTTCTTAAGATGTGACTCGATTATTGCTATAAATGTTCAAGTTATGTTCAATGGTTGATAACCCTTTGTTGCATTATAAATGTTTCTCTATCTTCAAACTGTTGCACTTGAGTTCCTTAATCATATCGAGGAAATGACTGAGAACTCCTGACTGGTACACTGACTCTTAATAAACATAATGGTAAAACTTACAGACAACCAACCGTTAGTGAAAATATTACAGTTTACTTGCCCTCCCTGGATTTCCTACATCTATGTTTATTACTTTTTTTTCCATTTTAACAGAGCAGCTGAAGTATCATCAATACATTCCTAGTCTTAATGATGTCATGGTAAGTTGCCTGTCATGTTCAGCTACATTGCGATAGGAGAAATGAAAGTTGGTGGGGTTCTTCTTGATAAGAAAGATTATACTGACAATATGATGCAAGTCTAGTTTCTCACATCTTAGAGAAAGAGCATGTGATGTCAGCTGTCATAGAAAATGCAGGTTGCTTGTGAACTGATTGATAAATCATTAGTTGTTGGAAACAACAATATATCAAATCAGTATAATTTACCCTTTGACCATTGAGTCCTTGAAGTTTTGCAGCCTCTAAGCTGCTTTTTTGGAACATCTGACATCTTGAGATAAACTAGTCAAGGATGTGACAATGCAAATTGTTTTCTTGGTTGATCTCCACCAATATTCCACCTTTCTTCAAGTCGCAACAACAGTGACTGTCTGGATGTTACCAGTCCAGCCTCTTGTGTTTTCTTTGGGTTCTCACTTGTTTCCTGTCAGAGCTAAATACCCCTACCTACACACAAGCGAATTATTGAAATAAAATTGAACCATAATGTTAATCATGAGATGACCTGGTTTGTGTTAGTGGATGTAAGGTCTGGACATTAACAAGTAAAGATCCTAGCCTGTAAAATACACGCAATGATTAAAGGCTTAAGCTTTTTTTTTACTAGTGAGTTGACCAGTAGATTTTTCGGTATAAAGTTAAAAGAAACATTGGGCATGTTAAGGAAATATCATTTATCTATTTTTTTTTTTTTTAAAAATTCAGGCCCAAAGAGCAATAAAATTACGCCTGGAGAAAATAGAGAGAAAAGAATTAAAGAAAATGGACAAAAGGAAGGAAGAAGAAATAAAACAAGAGAAATTACAACAAAAGGATAAATTAATAGAAAAAAGAAGAAAACAGCGATTAGAGGTAATATACATGTATTTACAGCATTTTATGTTATTAGTTTCTGCATATATCATCTTGATCATTTTTTGGAAATAACAACATTATCATGATCAGTTTCTGGAAATAACATTTTTATCAGTTTCTGGAAATAACATTTTTATCAGTTTCTGGAAATAACTCCTTTATTAATTTTGAGAAATATCACATTTATTAGTACATCTTTTGGCAAACAGAGGGCACAAATAGATTTACCATATGATGCTGCCCCTTATGTATTCAAATACCAATTACAGCTGTATTGATATCAATATTAAAATAAAAACGTTTACAAATTTCGACCATGAGTTATTTTGTACATTCATACCAGACAAATATTTATCAGAGACAGTTTTTTTAATAAGTTTTAATGGTCATCTTTTTTTGAGAAAATTTGAATTGTTTTGCATTTTTATTTCAATTCTTTTTATTTCAGATATATGCCCTGAATAAGATAATGACAGAATTAGAAAATAAGAAATTTCAAGAGTTCTGCCAGATTAAAGGAATTTATTGATGTAGAAAAGGTGCAATTAAGATGTAGGAAGAACAGTTTTTCGATTTAATAATAATCATATACCAGTATACCTATGAATGCAATTTATATTTACTGGTTCTTATTTATTACAAAAAAATTGTGATATATTGTGTAACTTATAAAAGAAAATGTGAAGATAACAGTCCTCTATTTGACTTCAAGATGTGTATAACTATAACCATGACAAGCCCTAATGATTTCATCTTTGTGCCCCTGTCCATTTAAATTATCCAGGGAAATTGTTGATTTTATCTGGCACTATCAAGCTTTCAAATTTTAAATAGAAATTTTTATTTGGATTGGGAAATCTCAGATTTAAGTTATTCCATCAATGAAAACTAGACTGATTCTTAATAGTTAAATGAATGCAAAAAAGTAAAACAAAAATGTCTAAATTTAACAGTGATATTACCCAGTTGAATTTATAATGTTTAGTGGGTATTTATTAAGTAAAGAAAAAATATGCAAATATGAATGTAATATTTGAAATGGGGTTTTACATTAACTTTATAGTGTGAGAAATAGGTACTTATAAAAACAATGAAAATATAAATGTTTTATTAACCAGTTCAGTATTGAATATTGTCACTATTTGATAGTGGATAACATTACTTTTATTACAATAGTTATAGGAAATGTTATATGTAGATAAACTGAATTTATCTTCATTTTCAAATTTCTACATGGTTGTTGAAAAATTGACATAACCCAGATTGGACTGTGGCTGTCTTTAATGCTGGAAGTACATGATAATTCTTTCGGTAACTTTGTTTACATTTCATCTAATGTCCAATAAGGTTGACTTAATGCTGATATAGATTAAACTGACCTGTTATATATTAAAATGTATCATTATATTTATAATTCACCCCAGTATATTTAGCAATAATTAAATACAAGCAATAATTTCTTGCTATGCAGTAAATATTATGGTTTGATCATCTTGTGAACTAAAACTGAATCTTTTTCTATTTTTTCCCCATTTTCTTTTTTAAGAAAAGTGCATTATCATAGAAATGTATATACACAAAGGGTAAAGTTTGTAGATATTTACTGAAACTATAAAAATATATTTTTGTGTGTATTATTATTTAAAAAGCATCTAGACCTCTTTGATTTAGGTAAATAATTATTGTGTCGATTTAATCAAATTTATTCTATTCATTTGCTTTCGAAGTGGGCATATGTCTTCATGTAAAATTTTAGGTGCACAGAGAGAGCCAAGGCTGAAATATAAATAAAACAAACCTACATTCACTTAAAATTCTTAAACAAACCAAATTCCAATTCTTATTTTAAAATAAAATTTATCATATGGATCACTAATCGAAATAACACATTAGATCAACTAATTTATTCAACTCTTTATTTGTATGTAAATCAAAGAGGCTTAGCTCCTTTAAACTCAATCTCCTCAAACAAGTATTATCTTTTTGGTGTGAATTTGCTCAATCTGAAATACTGCTTTTTTATGCTCAATTTTGATAAACATTTTAACAAATATAAACATTTACAATATTTTCTAACAATTTTGAAAAACCTCTTTTACTATTTATTATGTTATTAACCCAGTTGTTTTTGTATTTTATGTAGAACTTTTTCTTGTAGAAATATGTTTTAGATGTATTTATATCTCTAATCATTTAATACTATGTAGTGCACTCATTTTAAATCGAATTGTTCAGAACAAAATTTGTAAGTGAAGCCATTTAACAATATCAAAATCGAGTTCTCAGAGAATCCTGCATAACCTGTTTATATTTTTAAAAAAATATATCAAAATAAAAACATTCTTGCACGTAAATGTTTTACCACGGTTACCGGAAATAAATATATAAAAGAAATCGAAGGAATCAATTGGCTCATTTATGAAGTAGGCCTATACAACTCTGATAAATATTAATGACGATCATAAAGATACTGGATAATCATACATTCCAATAAAGAACATCATGAGATAAATTTAGCACCTTAAAGTTTGATGTGTATGAGAAGTCATTTAGCCAAACTAAAAACCTCCCTCTGAGAATGAAAATGTATTTATTTGTATGACCTTATCAGGCTTGAAGAACTAATTACAGTATATGTCCAGTATTGTGTAGTTGTCTCCCTTATACCAGCAGTAAGGTGGTTGTTGTCACACGTAGCTCAATAGACGAACATATCACTACTATGTACATTACATCATATAATCTTTTTATCTGTTTCTATTTAATATTCAACAGCAAACAAATTATGAATAACATAATTTTATAGGTTCCTTTTTTCTGCAATTCCACTTATATAATATTTCATTTTATTCTACAAATTGTTCATTTGTATTTCATCCAGATTTTAAAATCTGAATGTTAATAGGGTCCTTCAAATCAAATTGGAATGAAAATTGCATTTCTTAGTTACAGGTTTCTGTAATGTAACATAGGGTATGTACTGTTTTATTTAACTTTACAGCATCAACATATTATGATATAATAAAACTTTAAAAGTTTTTACTTGTTGAATATGGCTATTCACAAATAGTCAATCATACAGTTCTTTCACTATTGCATAAGCATCCCTCAAATTTAAAACTTCTGGTCATTTTGATTCTAAGAGTAATGTCATATTACCTTAATATGTGAAAATGTTTTTTTTATACAGAATTAAGTGGCTGATTATGTAATATTTGTTATTTTTTCCTGTAATTTTGTTTCTTTGTTATGTTTTTTTTTATTGTAAAATATTTATTTTTGTTGATATACTCAACTAATAATGTGCACAGAGTTATTAGAATATGAAATAAAACAGTGAATATAATATTATCTTTCCTTATTTGTTTTACTAATTCAGTTCAAACTGAACTTTTAGGGAAAAAAATTGGTACAGTGTCCCATTCCATCTCCGTTGTAGTACTTTGGTCCTTAAGACCATATTGTATCTTTAACTAATTATTGGTTCACACTTTCTATAGAGTCAAATCCCACCGTCTAATGAAAGTGAATGATATATTTATATATAAAAAAAGTGATATTTTGGTAAAATCCTTACCATTGTCAAAATATCCATCAAATTTTATCTGTTTATGACATGTGTTTGGTAGACCAAATACGGTAATGTTTATTCCATATTTGGGATGGAAATTACCGCCAAGGTCAGTTTGTGACATACAGAAATTGGGGGGTTATAAAAAGGGGTGTATTGAGCGAAATTCATCAGAGCTCACCCAAATGTTCCGAGAAGCTATCATCTAATATGCTTTATTGAGAACGAGGACCATCGAAGCTAAACAGTTTAACAATAAAGCCGTAGAAACGAACTAACCAGTAGTTTAATTTACGGTCACAAAGGAATCACAACAAGCAAGTCCGATATTACTACACCCATGGCAGTCATATTCCTTAAGCAATGGCCCGAGAAATCCCTCTATGTCCATTGCTGGATAGGCACTTGATACTTGAGCTTTTGAAGGAGGGGGTGTGTCTTTTCATCCCGTTCAATCAAATCTATCCCACGTACAACATGACAGCCCTTCGTTTCATGTGGGGTCTTGTCTAAAACTTTGGTCAGTGATTTAAGGTATTAAAAACGGGAAAAGTCTTGTTCGTCACCATACAGTATTGTTTACATTGTATCAGAGTTGATAGCCTCGTTTGTCACGCAATTAGTTTTTCTGCAATATTCTGCTATGCACTGGTTAATTGGGCATAATAAAATCGTGAGCCATGACGTAACGTTATGTAAACATATTTGGTCCAATGTGGAGCAATTTTTAAAGCGTAATCATATTGTTACGCAGTTAACTATTGGTTGTTAATCGGACTATTGACCGTGTCATAATTTGGAACAGAAATTTGCTTCCACTAAAGCAGTGTTTAGTGGGATTAGCTCTAATCAAACGAAACACTGCGGGGAGTTTTACACCATCTAGCTAACATATACAGAGTTAATGCAAGATCAAGCTACTGAAGATGATGACCACCATACTCCTCCCCTCTCCCCCCCTCCCCACTTCATGCTTTGTGCCGTCTGATATCGTGACGTGGTAAATGCATTAGCAAAAATCTGATTTAAGTTCAGGTGGGCATTGCGTAGAATTGCGGTTTCAAAAAAAATAAATAAGGCTATATTGTACCACTGTCAAGATGCGGTGGTCTAATTATCATGAATTTTAGGGGAATGAATGCATCCTGTTCCCCAATACCCCCAACAGCTCGCTTCTAAACGTTGGCGCTCGCCGGAAACCGACTTCAAACGCCACAGCTCCGAGAAATCTAAACAGACATTCCATTTCAGGACCCTCTGACACAAAATTCAGGTGGACCAAGATTGGGATTTCGGGTTTCAAAGCTACATAAACAAGGTTATATTTGACTGCATTCTAGTTGGTGGAGCATATATGGAAGAATTGAATCAACTCGGGGTTAAATCTTCAACAATATATATTTTATTCAACATTAAATAATTTTGTCAACAATAAATATACTCATACCATATATTTAACAAACTGCTGAAATATAATTGATTCTACAATCCATACGTCTCATCACACTCTCTATATTAAAGATACATTATGGGAGATAAGATAAAGAGATGGCAGTTCTCGCTATAATAGTTTAAAACTAGATAGTGTAAAGGCAATTTGCTGAAAATTTCAGTCAAATTGATCCACTATGAGCCGAGAAAGAAGCGGGTGAAATTTTTGCATAGTCTCGGTCATCATTACTAAAATCATTAATATAAACAGCATAGTCTCGATTATCCACTTTTTTGATTTAATTATCAATGGCCGTTAGCGGCATATAGGAATCTAATCCAGCCAACATCGAAGGCTAGTCTTGACATCGAGAGTTTATTATGGTCTGGATAAGTTAATTAATGTCTAATTGATAATTTAGATAACATTTCAGGCCTAAAGAAAGACTTGTAATAAGCAGATTTTGCTCTTGCATAATGCATGTTTAATATATTAAAATATACATAATATACTAATTTATAAACTATATTAATAATTGATTTTAATAGTCAGCAAAATGGTTCCGTTCCGTTTATAATGCGGGAAAAGCCAGCTTTTAACGTTTCGATTTAAAAGAGATGACGTGTACCCGTGTTAGGTAAGATTGTATGCTTAATTATAGTTGGATGTGGCAGAAATAACAATAATCAATGGTTGTTTTGAAGAAAAAAATTGACAGTTTTGCTTATTGAAGTACTACTATATGTAATTCACATCCGGGTTCTGTCAGAAAGAACTACATGTATAATAGTACCATCGCTTATCTCGAGCCACGCAAGATCGAGAGGCGAGGTTTCTTATCTGTTGTATGCTTTAACACCATCTATCACTACCTCACATACAGTAAATAAGTATACATCAGTATAGGTCGTACCAGGTGGCCGGATCGTACCATATATCCCCGGCATATTTGTAATAGCCCACCATATATCATCGGTATGTCGTACCATATGTTATCAATATTTTGTACCATCTATCAACAGTATGTCGTACCATATGTTACCTATATTTCGTACCATTTATCATCAGTATGTCGTACCATATGGTATCAATATTTCGTACCATCTACCATCAGTATGTCGTACAATCTATCATTAGTATGTCGTACCATCTTTCTTCAGTGTTCCGTTGCATATTTAGTACACATTATTTATTTTTCATATCACCAGTGGGTGATGTTATCAGTATTTCGTACCATCTATCAGTGTGTCATACCATATGTTATCAGTATTTCTTACCATCTATCATCAGTCTATCGTACCATATTTTATCAGCATTTCACACTATCTATCATCGGCCTGTCGTACCATCTGTCACGTCATCAGTATTTCGTACCATCTATCACGTCATCAGTATTTCGTACCATAGAAATATATAAATATATATTTATATATTTCTATGTTTCGTACCATCTGTCACGTCATCAGTATTTCGTACCATCTATTACCAGTGTGTCGTACCATATGTTATCAGTATTGTGAACCCAGGGGTTAGTGGAGTATAATGGAATGAGACCACTGGGGATACCGAGGATGGGTTGAACTCATCGCCAGGACTATACTTGGGTAATTAAGAGACAAATGGTTTCATGTGCGAGGGAGAAACGAAACGCGGCGTGTGATTTTATTGCCACCAGAATTTTAAACCGGGATGTTTTGTAGCCGCCAGTCTAATATCCAGAAAGATAAAGGAATTTCTTAAAACTAACCATTTGAATATGCATACAGGAGCACAGAAAAGATATACTCATCCTCTCTCACACACCAAAAATGCATTTTCCGCGTTCTTATCTTCCCTTGAACCTAAACAGTAGACACAACAAGCTATATCGTTCACACGCATCTCAAAAGTTGTTACATGTAACACGGACATAAGCAGATCGACGTGTAAGAAAATCTTTCTGTGAGAATAGACTCGCGCGTGGTTGTGTGAAATCAGTAGAAACCAATCTAAACTTTAAATAGCCATAACTAGAGTCGGAACAATCTGATTAAAATACAGATCTATATTTCGTTTCGTTTTTTTTATATACTTTCGATGGCCTACACTACATGAAGATCTGACAGATTATAGTGGGAGTTCAGGTCAGGGGTCAAACGAGCGCCTTTTGGCCCTATGACGTCAGATATCGATTAATCAATCAGCGTTGACATTTCTAGTGGTTTACCCACAGTTCCGTGCGTAAAAGGCCAAGAACTCGCCGTAACAGACCGTTTCATTGGTTAATCCCTCACATCATCCATAACACGTCAATGATAACAACGCTTCCAGATCCTAGTGTAGTAAAGACAAGTAAAACGAAATTTGAACTATAAAAATGAAACGAAATAGGATCTGTGTTTTAATTAGATTGGAGTCGGGATTGATTGAAATAATTTGTGGACAAAATTTCTTTTTTTAATAAAATAAGCTTGGATTTTGCATGGTTTAAACACCATACTTGATCATTATTTTCTGGCAATTCTGAGTCTGATACTTACCCAAACATAAACATTGCGCCCACAAATAATAAAACAAAGAAACATTTCTTATAAATTTTACATAGAAATATTTTATTTGATATAAAAATAATAGCAAATCCTTTATCCCCAAAGTATTGTGATAAGGCCACATTGTACAGAAGCTAATCTAGACTATTGATCGAAAGCTTCATCAAACCATCCTTGATTTCAAACTTTTTTCAGAAAAAAGCTCTACCTTTCTTGTTGAAGTTCTATCTAATTGATCAAGACCGATTCCAACACCCCTTTCTGTTATGATTTCAACGACTTACCAACTAATTTTATTCCGATACACCGAGTTCAGGGAATAGTCTTATTCTATCTATCTATTTTAAAAGAAGTAAAATCCCACCATGCAACATAGTAAAAAACATTTAGAAATATTAAACTTAATACAATATCATTTGATATTTAACTGTTAATGATTATTATTTTCTCAAAATTGTAGTTGTATCATTTTTTTTTTAAAATGAAACTGAAGACGTGATAAAACCATGAGTTTTTATTTATTTTCTCAAGATCTGTGGAAATTAAATTATATAAAGTTAATTAATGTAAAACCTTATCATGCAACTGAAGACATACTTCATGCAGTTTAATCTACTGTATTCCTAAGCGAACATAATTTCATTTTGTTTTACCTGTATTTTGTTCCAAGAGAAGTTAGAAGTTCGTTTCTGCTGTAAAATTACTTTGAAAAAGAAAAATCTGATAACAAAAAATACTTATTTTCTGTCAACCAATTCCATGGTCTAAAGATCTAACATTCCAGATTGTAATTCCATACTTACCATATATGTCTAAATAATCAAAAATATATAATACCTAAAACGAAATTGAAGACGTTAGAAATCTAAAGAATAAATATGTAGTAGAAATTTTTTTTAAACTAATAATTGCACTAAGAGTACAATCAATGTTTAAAGGAGCTAGGGATTTAGATGCAATTTCATTCAAATATCCAACATATAGTTACGTTAAGCGTTTTATGATCCAATTCAATGTCTAAACAAACTGAAAGCCAGTCAGGGATGGAGTGATAAAGCCTTCCAGGAACTGTAAGGGTGTGGCCTTATCCGAGCATGCACTGCAAAAATAATCTGTACATTTATGGCAGAAACCACGGATATTTTTCTTCTTCCCATTATGTAATAATTGAGAACAATTATATACGTCAAATACGAATATAATTCATACTTGTGTCAATACATTATATTATATATTGGAATACGTTTTTTGCGCTTTTGAAAGGCACATACCATTCCAAAATCAGCGAGCATTACCAATTTTCATGCCAAAAATATCAGTGGTTTAAACTGTAAAAGTACGGACAATTTTCACAGTGTTTTATAATAATGACCTGCTCACAATAAGCTATGTATAACATACATAGATTGCAATTATTCAAAAATATACAAAATTATACAACGTACAAAAAATATATGAAACATATGAAAAATTGAAAACATTCACAAACACACATACTATTTCACAATATTTACAATATATATATATATTTTTTACAACAAAATATGTTTATTTACGTAAACTTATCGGCCTTAATTACTTTATAATTTTACCTCAACCTTGATGATGACATAAATATAATTCTTTTATCAGAAAAAAAGCATGCATTCATTCTTTAAAGAAAAGAAGCTATTTTTGATATTGGGACATATCATTAGAATATGCAAATTAGATGACAAAAATTAACTAAAATAAAATATAGACCACAATAACTCTGGCGAAGGGTCGTGACGTCCAAACTGGTTCCGTTCTTGGTCAACATATCCCGAAACTTCAAATGCCAAAATCCAGATAGGCCAACCCTATCTGAAACATCACCGATCGTATCAACATCAACACGAGGACAAAAGACTGTGTTAGAACTGTCACCAATATTTTGGCCCTTACCAATGCCATAAGAACAAATTAAAAAGGAAATCACGTGACCAATTCTTACTTACTTACCAATTACTTACAAAATATTTTCACCAAATCTTGAACAAGATATTCTCCCCAAGAGCAAAACGTCCTTTTGTTTAAAGAAGTAAAAATGCAATCTACAGTTAGAAGCTCTAGTTGCCTTCTAGAAGCTTTAAAGAAGTATCTTTCAAAACTTTGTAAAATCTACTAGTAATTAATACTACTAAAATGCAGAAGAAAACAATTTCAATGCGTGCGAACTGATCTCTGAAGAGAAGCGTTTACTATGGTGGCTCTATAGGGGCATTCTTTGACAGTCTCCTTGAGGTAAGTATTGCCCAAAACGCAATAGCTAAAAGGCGAATAACTGAATGAACATATACCTGTAAGTACATTACATACTCTGTAAAAAATGTAGGAGTTAATTGAAAAGTGTGTTGAACTAAACACAATCAACTAATAAGAAAAACACACAACTTACGTCAGTAAGTAAGGGTATACCTTTTCGGTCCTGTACTTCTTAAGCGTGCATTGTAAAACAACAGATAAAATAATTTAAGACCATACCTTCGGCTACAGAATGTTTAAAACCACATCATTTTGAATGGAAACCGCTAAACAGCATCATTTCAAATGGAAGTATAATCTCTTAAACAGCATCACTTTGAATGAAAAATCTCTTAAACGTACCTTTTGAAAAATATGACACCAATACTTAACCTATGATGGGGTTACCCACAAGTGTTTATAAACTGTGTTAGATGAATTAGAGCATACAAACTAACTATTTCTATTTCAAAAACTACCGCGAAAAATATCATCTATTATCAATCAGAAACTGGGGTGCTTTTAGAATTCATTCTAAGGCAGAATCCATGACTAATTTACTGTGGTGAATGATAGAACATGGAACAGCCTACAATAATGTTCATGGCATAAACGCCGATGAAGAGTCCAGTTTACCGCCTTCTGGTTACTTTTGATGGCATAATTCTGAACAATTCCAACATTCACCACTGTTAATAAATTGTGCATTTCTGATGATAGTGCCTATTGAAGACCATTACCTTTCTAATCCCTTGTTCTAACATCTACTTTATTGAACCGATCAAAATAATACTAGTGAGTTAATATTCTGTTAGGGAATGTAGTTTCTCCAATATACATGCATTTGAATCCACTGAATCTTCATTTTCTCCAAAAAATCGATGCCAATTGTGCATCATAATAATTAGTAATTATTTATTTATTTTGCAATTTTAAGGCTGTTAGCCGTAATTTATTTTCTGCAAAACTGGAAAAGTGTCATATTGGACAAACTACAGACGGTTAATGCAATAAATAAGTTGTATGTATTCAGACACAAACAATTAATTCAGAAAGCCTAGACTAAGATTTGAAAAATATTTTTATAAAACCTGAAAGTACTTATCAATTTCCTGGTAGGCCATAAAGTCCTAAAATACCCTCATACTTACAAAATGTAAAAAAAAAGAATTAAAAATTTCGCTGAATGAGATCTGTGCATTAACAGCATGACAAAAAGCAAAACAAAAGAGAGGGGGGGGGGAGAAAAGACTAAAAAATACATACAAATTACACTCAAAGTAGCAGTGACTTATTATGCTAAGATAAAAATTGATCTCTTTGCCAGCAATTGAGCTATAAGGGTGCTTAAACAATCACTTAATTAAAAGCCAAGGGTGCAGTTTTCAAACAGGTATTTTTATGCAAATTATGTACAATAAATGAGAAAATGTTTACATACCTAGCTTAATTGTAGCATGTACCCTGACAATCTATTGTCATATTGCACCAATTGTTTGTTTTTTAATGAGATTACGGTATAAAATATAAAACAAACCTATTTGTAGGTAACAAGAACATTTTATGTTCTCGTTTAGATATATCTGTGTCCTTTATATGTCTATATACATTGTTTGTTTATATTTACAATTATATACTTTTTAAGTATCTGTCAAAATATGTCTATAATTTATTATAAATACATATCTGGTGGTTGGTGGTTATTATTTAATGTACTTGTTATTATACCTCGACCTGAGGTTTCGAACAAATGATCGTTTTTAAAACTATCATAAGAGACGTTATTTTGCGGGTAATCTCCCGCTAAATGGGGAGGAAGGTTGTTCGGATGGTGATACACAAAACTGCCCGCTATTATTGATGGTTCGTAACGACTCTCATCTTCGATTTCCACACTAAAAAGGCCATTATCACTGGACTGATCGTTAAAGTATGGCAAATGTGGATGACGATGATGACTGGAATGTGAAGACGAAGGGTATGCCTGAAACGATGACAATTAATGTTGTTGGTTAATTGGTATCAGTTGATTTCTATTCAAATAAATCAGATATAAACTTATTTTATACACTATAAATCCACGTACACTTGGTCACAGTCACATATGTTTTCATCATACAGACGAACCCGCCTGTTCTTAAGCCAAGTTCAGACTCCAGGTAAATTATTAACATGTTGGACTCTAATGCTCTAGTATATCGGGGTTCTGTTTTAAATTACTGTCATTTTGGTCTCCACTGCTCTAGTTTGTCGGGGATTTAGTTAAATCACTGTCATGTTGGGCTCTACTGCTCTAGTTAAATCACTGTCATGTTGGGCTCTACTGCTCTAGTTAAATCACTGTCATGTTGGGCTCTACTGCTCTAGTTAAATCACTGTCATGTTGAGCTCTACTGCTCTAGTTAAATCACTGTCATGTTGGAGTCTCTTGTTCTAGTTTGTCGGCGTCCTGTGTTAAATCACTATCATGTTGGACCCCGATGCCCTAGATCTTGGGATATATTGTTATATTACTGTCATGCTGTACTTGAGTGCTCTAGCTTGATATGCGATATTTGAATGTGGGGGGGGGGGGGGGGTATGTTCTGTATTCATCATGTTAACCTCTAGTGTGGTCGGGTTGGCGTATTCCGATTATGTTTGACTCTGGTGCTTTATTTTTAATGCTCTGTTTTTGTCCGAAGCTATTGTTATATTACTAACACATAACACGCGGTTTATCTTGTCTTTAAAATTCACCATAAAAATAAAAAACTTAATATTGAAATAGACTTACATCACTAAGGTTCTCAAATACTCGGTAGGCTTTCTCATACACTCCAAAATCATAAGCTAAAACTGGGTCACTGAATACTGGAACAAGACGTCGTTTGGCAATATGACGCATATGGTTCTTAGGATATCTGAAACAAAAATTAACCGAATCAGTATAATATACACCGAAAGTAATTAGTTTTTGACATTAATAAAATGTTACATATTCTGTAGTTTTGATATATATTCTGATTTTAATGCATAATTATTTTTATTCGAATATTGTATATTGATCCTTTTTAGAACTCAAGATTGCATTATATATTGGTTTTTTTATATTATTTAATTATTTTATTTTATATTTATATTTTTTTTTGCGGGGGAGGGGTGGTGGAGGGGGCGGGGGTCTTGGAGCTTACCTTTTATTACTTTGACATTTTCGAACACCGGCAAATACTATAATGATTATTGAGAAGAATGATAAAATTCCTAGTGTTGCGCCGATAATTAATTCTGTAGGAAATTTCCCATCCTGAAAAATAAATGTTCGATTGAAAAGAGTGGGAAGGTATGTTTTCCAATTAGTTTTATTTATTTTACTGACAGAACTGACCATTGATGTTGCCTCTTCCAGTATTTTATTTGTGGGTGTATGTAGATTCAATCTAATAAGCTAGGTTCTGCCCAATGTACTTGTTCCATCACAGGTCGCCAGAATAAGCAACTGGTTATGATCAAATGATCAACGCCCGTAACAAAATTTGACCAAACATTGATAGTCATGGTTATTGGGCGTAACGCGTGACATTCAGTTGGTCGTAGTAATTGTCGCACACTACAATTGAAAGGTGGGTGGAAACTTAATTAATAGATCCAATTATTTTCCGTCTACCAGATTTTCAGATTTATGTAATGACAAGACAGGGTTGACAATAGAAAGTGCCTTGGGTTCGTGCTTCTACTATTGGTTCCCACATTGAATACCGTCACGATCAAAGAGGCTTTCAGTTGACAAGGCCGGTGGAAGCAATTCATGATTGGGAGAAGGTGGGGGGGGGGGCTACCATCCTAGGACTTTAGGCGAGGGCCCCTGAAGCTTCTGCGGGTCTAGATCGGCGGAGATGCTTTCTGGGTGATTTCTGGCTAACTGGCTAACAGAATTATTCAGTTTTCTAAATCCCTTACCACGAAAACGCAGTAGATGGTGGTTTCCTTTGATGCTGAACTGAACAAATATATGCATAATACATGTAATACCAAAGTTGTGGACCACTAGAGGTCACAATTTTTATCCGATTTTGATGAAACTTACAATGTATGTTTATAACCCCAAGAGCATGTAATGGTTGTGGACCGTCTAGAGACAACAATTTTCATCTGATTTGGATGAACCTTAAAACAAGTGTCACTAATTTCTTGGATGAGTTCACATTTGGTGCGCATCAGTCCCCTGTCGTTTATGTAAAATGTCCAATGAATAAAGTTTATAGACCTTCCTGGGGCGATACATTTGTTTGTCCAGTCCCCCCTCCCCTCCCACACACTCTCCGCCGAGCCTGGTTTAAGAATACAACAAGCTATAATGTAGTGAATAGATTAATGGCAGCATATTCCTGTAATTGCACACAACCCGTTAAGGCATTTACTAATAACCTATTAAGGACTTACCGTATGGGAAGATGGTTCATTATTCGGGCATACAACTGGTGGCGGACAAAGATGATCTTTTTCATTACCATAACATAACGTGTGATTCAGTAGTAGATCGTTGCCTTGACAACGCCATTTTATCAAATATTCGCCATTATTGTCACACTTATAGAAAGCCTCACAGCCTTGACGTGATCTATCTGACGACTCGTGAGGCGGACAGGGTAACGCCCTTCTCCAACACATAGTGTCTCTGCAAAAAACAATAACGACAATTAGACAGTGAATTAACAAGAGATACTCTTCGGGTTATGTAAGTAGGCCTATACAGTTAAAACTAGATCATTAGTCGATCAATTAAACATCCTGTGCGTTTGGATAACAGTATAAACCGCCATCAAATGTTCATAAATTATTACGATAAAAGACAGTTGTTCATCAATTTATATTCACGAATGCACACAGGATAGACTAAGTCGAGTATGTAGCCTACCTGCGATCGAATAAAATAATAAGAAAAGGGTGCTATTATACGGGACCATTTTGTAAAATGAGCAAAAACGTGTTTATTAGTCACGTTATGTGGTGCATGCAAGGTCGGATTATAAACCCGGAGAGATTTTGGTGCCCCTATATGTAATTCAAAATATAAACAATAATAAAGTACAACAACCGCCAAGAGTTTTTCTGGGATATTATACACGTCATTATTAATTGCGACAAAACAATATGAAAGACAAAAACAACGAAAAACTAACTGAAAGTTCTTAATTTTTAAATTAAATATTTTGAATTTGGCATCAAACAAAGCAGACATTCTGTTGTGCCCCCATTACCATGAGCCCCTAACCACGGTTTATTTGCTTAATGGTTAATCCATCCCTGTGTGCATGTGGTCGTTGGTGCAGCAGGCATGTGCCGGATTTCTACTGACATCAAAGGAATGAAATATCATATTATTATCATATGTAACTAAACTGCCTTGATAGATCCTGGCGGTCGAATAAAATCCGCCCTTAATAAAACAAAATATATTTTAATCCAACGAAAAATCGTTCGGTTGAACATGAATCATTCGATTGCAATGAGAATCGCGTTTCACTCTTTCCAATGAGTTTTTTGACCCGTCCTGTGATAAAGCCCCATTTTGTTCAATTCATTGAAAAGGGATAAACTGCATCTGACGATACGCTCATAATATTACCGGTATGCATCTGACTTCTTGGATTCTATTCAAATTCAACAAAAATCCAAATCCTATTGTAAACAGTCAATAAAGGATACACCTTATTATCCACTTGGATATAACTTCGCAATGTTTTATTCGGTTTCCATTTCTAAAATCAAATTGTTAAAGAGTTTTAAAATCGCCTATATAAACGTTACCGGGAAAAAAGAGGCTTTTTTAAGCAGAGTTTTTAATGTCTGGTTGTGTTTCAAAATTTTGCAAGAATTATTGCTGACCTTAAACCAAATTCTATTCTTGTTTTAAGTTTCAGACCCACTTTGGTCACGTCGAAATAACATTACTGGTAGCCGACTTATTTTCAATACATAGAAGTCCGTATAACTGGATATAAAATATAACACAGTATTTTCCACGCCCCCAGTAATTCGGCCCTCAGTTTCTCCGATAAACCTATGTCTTTTGTAATAGAGACCAATGGGATGTTTCTTATAAACATTGTATACCCGATAAACATTAGCGCAGCTATAAAAATAAGTTCACGAAGATTATATGTGGACTATCTAGCTCTGGGAAGTTACTGGCGCCCAAACTACTCGAATGAGGATATTGAACACCTAATAAAGTGAATGATAAATTCCAAAAATTCCTTAGTTGCCATCAAGATACTGTTAGTAAATATAAAACATATTATGTCTCCTATCATCATAGATCTGAATCTATAACACCAATAAATTTGGGTTTACTTAAAGTGTAGTGTTATTATGTAGTATATTGCCAGCATTTGAACACGGGAGAGATTCTACTGTGTCATGGTATTTTTATGCGTTTTTGCAAATAAACTATTTAACGGTAATATACCCTCCTCCCCAATCCCCACAAACACACATGGTTTCTTTCTTATTGTGTAAGTATTAATGTATAGTGTCAGGACTTGAGCGTAGTAGAGAGTCTACTGTGTCATGATCTATTTTAATGAAAATATACCCGCCCCACACACACACACACATCCCCACACGCACACACAGTCAGTTATATGGTAGCTGTTAGCGGCCATTCAAATGAATCTAAATCGTCGCCTTGTCGGCGGGTTGATTTTGTCGACTTGTCGACTTATAGCCTTCGACTTATTCACAACCCGAAAAGCCGATGAAATACAATTATTTCGACTTGTCGTGCGGCGACTTGTCACCTCGGAAGTTAATCTGTGCGCATGCAAGTTATCCAATCAGCAAATGCGCAAGCTCGAGTTTGGCTTCCGAGGCGACAAGTCGCCGCACGACAAGTCGAAATAATTGTATTTTGTCGACTTGTCGACTTGTCGAGTTGTGAATAAGTCGAAGGCGACAAATCGACAAGTCGACAAAATCAACCCGCCGACACGACAAAATAACCCGACGATCGTCGCCTTCATTTTGTCGTGTCGGCGGGTTAATTTCGTCGACTTGTCGCCTTCTTCATAAGGCGACGATTTAGATGGCCGCTAACAGCCACCATACATTTACTATGAAGAAATCTAAACCTGTAATACTAATATAATATTCTAATCATTATTTCAACGAAGTTTAATTAAAATGAAAATAGGACGTGGCGTAGGCAAATCATCAAGTTAATGGTTGTGACGTTAGCGGCATGTTTACTTCATTTCAGTTCGATCGATGTTCTTAATTTGTTATTCAAAAAGAACAATAATTTGTGTTTAGGTTCGTGCCATAACTGAACTATTTTTTTCATTTTCACATTGTGGACCTATGCTACATAAATATTTTTAGACGTGCTTCCCCTGGAATAACTTGACATGGAGGAATAAAATTGCCATATAATCAATCCAAAAAAATCATTACAGTTGAATGCTCTGTTGACATCCACGTCGTCAACACGCCTTAAACAATGAACCCCCACTTTCATTTCAAACATTTGAAACTTCGAGACAGATCTTTGTTTTGTCTGCAAACGTCGGTTTTTCAATAGACGACATAAGCAGAAAACTGCCAATTTCCGTTGTGTTGTTTTAAAAAAATACAAAAACTATGTTTCGACCTTATTTTATTGCATTTTATAAAACTTTTTTCGTTCTAGTAATTGGGCACTTCTGTGCACATTCAAAGCCTCTCCCTTACCTTTTTGTACTAAAATTTCGTAATCCGAGTTGTACAATAAGTCTTTTGATAAGTAGTTTCAATTTGTGCATCGTAATTAAACTCGCGACCCCAAGCTGTCTTTTCGACGAAGATCTAAAAATCTCTGAATTTTCTTGAACAAGACAGTTTTCGGGGTTTAGTTGCATTTTCTTCCAACTCGGGCATTTTCTAATCAGCCTCGTGTTAGCACAAAGTTTAGTATAGAATTACTTAAAACATTCCCATAAAGTCTTGTATATTTCTATTTGGCTTTGCTTTGTTCGTTTGGGAGAATTGTTGTAAGACTTAGCTCCTTTTATCGCCTTTGTTTATTTAGTTTTAACTACAATTTACTTAGCCTGCCAATGTTCAGCAAATGGGGGAAATGATATTTAGCTAATTCTAACTAGTCACATACCGCGTCAAATTTACAAATAATAATGTATGGCTAGACCATAAAAACGAATGTGTTTAAACCCATAATAAACCATTCATGAAGCAAATAAATTTACTAAATCCTGAAGTGTAAAGAAAAAAAATCATAAATAGTATTTGTAGTCAAACCGTTCAATCACATCTATAAATTTCCAATTTTAGAAATTGTGGATTATTAAAATACGTGTAGTAACAGAAATATAAATCTCAAACCAAATTATTCTACAAAATCAACTTGAAAATAACTTTTTGACAAGAAATGTCATACTTTTATTGTCACAGTAGTGTGAAATAGTCAGTTAACATATAATTTCACAAAATTAAAATGTCTTCCTTTCTCATATTTTTTAGTAGGCCTACTAGGCCTTATACGGGGCGGGGGGGGGGATACAACCAAGGAGTTGGCTCCGGGAATCACTGATCAGATATATGTTTCAAGATGTCCTTTAGAAAATTATTTCCTGTGTTCATTCTCTTATGTGTTTTATTTTTCTCTTTTTCTACAGCAGGTTACATGAAGTGTTGGGGGAATTGTGAATCATGAGGCCAACTTTATCTTGAATAGCTGCGTGATTGGAAATCTTAATGTGATATGCGTTTTAAACAGATCGCTAGCTAATTTTAACCGTTTAATTGGTTAGGCGGGGGATTATCTTAACACATGAAAAGGGAGAACCATGAGTCTGTGAAATGAAATTAAATCGGGTTGAACGTCCTACTTTTCGACACCAATCAGTCTAAGGAAGATAGACCTACTCGTATTTTGAATTCCAACGTAAAACGTTATTTTATGTGTACGCCGACGTGTAAACGGGGCCCCTTTTTTTTTACCTAGACAAGACTATGTTTTGTCAGGCCCCCAATCCTGCACCACTGACGAGGTAAACGACGCTAGAAAATCCCAAAGCCCTTGACGATTTAAAGCAACAATTGGTTGAATTGTGGCTTAGGACACAAGAATGTTCGAATTGTTAATTTCGAGCACTTTTAAAACTTTTAGACGCGATAGTCCTTGATTGGCGTTTTAAAACTTAGCGTCCAACGGTCCAAAGTAGAAAGTTTGTGAACGAAATACAGAACAGAATTTGGTTAGATTGTTCATTAGGACACAAGGAAGAACCACGTCAATATCGGATGTTAAAATCCGAACCCGTTTTCCATTGATATTCTTCCCTTTAGTTTCACGAAGTTATCTTTCGGTTTCCATTTTAGCGTTTAGAGACAGGACTGTTTTCTTTATGAAAATTAGATGACATTGCTATTAAGAGTTAGTCTGTGCGATAAGATCCCGTCTATGTTTTACATTAAGAGTTTATCGAGACATGTCTAAATAAAATAGAATTTGCGTTCTCGAAGAAAAACATGTTTCACAATAAACGAAGCGACAAATGCTGTTATAAAATCTTATATTTAGGTTTGTATATGCCCACAGATATTCAGTATGCCATAACATTCCGTTCCAGTGTTACCCCCCTTTGCCGAAAACCTTCTGACGCGATAGAGGCTACAGTTTTTAACGCATTCATTTCAAATTTGGCGCGGAGAATTGAGATAAGGAGAGGATTATCAAAATTTGGGCGTATCTTGCATTACATCTACTTGTTGAAAAATATTATTATCACCGTATGTTACTCGCCCCACGTGATAAATATGTATTTTTCAGTCAACAAATCGAGAAACGTATAGTTACCGCCATGTTGGCTTGTTGTAAAGATGACACTATGTTGCCCAAACCTTTCTAATGTGGTTGATAATCTTAGGATTTCATTCAGATGTGTCGAAGATTTTAAAAAATGTCCGTCGGTGTGATCTGATCTCTCTAAGGTGTTCATTTTTCGCCGCAAAATATGGTCCATTTGTCTTTCCTATTGCTTTACAGAGCTCGCAGAATGAATATCACATATAACAAGGGGACTTGTTTCACTCGGATATTCAAAATGTAAAGTCAATGAACCGTATGTTCATTAATTTAGAATCGTACTGATATGTAGATTCTAATTTGTTTTAAAAAATCTTGGGCTATACTCAATCTCTTGGCGATTCACATTCTCAGTGGCTAGCGGTGTGATTTGCGGCGACGCCCAAATCAGATGCATTAGCCACGACAGACCACAGGCGACAAGCGTACTAATTAGGTACAATTCACTTCAGACACCTAGGGTTAGACTTAAAAGAAAAGCCTTAAAATGGAGACAGTTGCACGGCTAGATGATCATGTAAAGATGACTTATACGTACAGAGTTATGTTGATTTTTCCAAACGGCTGAAATTTTCAGACAAGGCAAATAGGCTATTCCTTGCACTCCATAGATTTCAAATTTTACATACCTTTTCAAACAATTATTAGGATTTTTCTGCTAGTCATAAAGAACAACCCCATCGAAATTCAAATTGACGCATAGAGGTATAGGCCCTGGCATCAAAACCCTATATGCGCAGTTTCATCAAAACCTCGAAAATTCTCTGCATATTCCAATTTTTTATTATTTTACAAACCTGTTGGGATTATTCGGCTAATCATAAGAAACAACCCCATCAAAACTATATATGCGCAGTTTGTCATCAAAACCTCGAAAATTCTCTGCATATTCCAATTTTTTATTATTTTAAAACCTGTTGGGATTATTCGGTTAATCATAAGAAACAACTCCATTGAAATTCAAAGTCATGCACCGATTTTACCTATGTTTATTTTCCCCGTCACCAAAAATTTCATTAAAACCTCGTAAACCTCTCCATAGATGTTAATTTTACAAGTTCGTTCAAATGTTTTGAGATACTTCCGCTAGTCATAAGGATGAATTCCTTGAAATTCAAAGTCGCTCATCGATTTTACACAGAGTTATTGCCCCTTTTCACTGAAAACCTTGTGAGAAATTTACAAAGGCCGTTGAGATTTACTTTTCAAACTTGCTGAAATAAGACATTATCGAAGTCGTTAGTGTGATCGAAACCGGGTTAACGCTCTACACACTACAATTTTTAAGCTAGAGTTATTCTGTACAATTAAACATACATTATACAAGAGCGAAATCTGCCAATTTCAGGTATTTCTTTAGGTCTAAATTATTAATTAGACATTAATTAACTTATCCAGACCATAATCAACACCTGATGTCATCGTTAGTCTGCGATATTTAACGGAGAGAAATATTTTTTTGAAAAATAATTAAACGTTAAAATGAATAATTGAGACTTTGTTTTTTGTCGTAGCGACTTTAGTAATGATGATCGCGGCTAGCCTAAAATTCAAAAGCCAATATCTCGGTTCAGAGTGGCGCAATTTGACTGAAATTTTCAGCACAATTCTGTTTACGTTATTTACTTTTTAACTATTATAGCGAGAACTTAACTCTTTATCTAATCGCCCATAATGACCCTTTAATGGTGGCGACTCTTCCTAGACTGGCAACGCTATATTTACATTAAATGTTAAACATCCAAATTTTCTAAATATATTGATATGTCAAATAAAGAAGGTCTCTCAACATAAATATTGTATTGAATTATGAGGAAGCAACATATTCTTTTTATCTAGGGCAGGGTAACACGACAACCAGAAATTTAATGCACCATTGTTCCTGACTAACGAGTAAAGAAAAATTTTATACATCGACATTTTCATGATAACGTATTATGTTGTTGCCTGTCATAATTTTTATCCAAGTTTGTTGAAACATATATATTTTTATTACACAAAAATCGCAAAAACATATGTTAAGGATCAAAAGAATTTGGTGCGCATCCGACCGCAGCTTCCTGGGTTTGTGGGCTCTCTAATGTGATGAATTAGGAACTTGCGAGAATTAAAGCTATCGATTCTCATCGTTCACGGTATAAACTTCTGAGACCCCCTGTTCTGAAAACGCGATAGAGGCTACAGTTTTTAACGGATTTCATGTTTTATGTGAAGCATTGGGGTCATAAGCGGACAAACCCTATCAATATTCAATATGGTGAGAAGCATTGGTGGGGGGGGGGGCGTTTCGTTCCAGCAGACTTATGCCTCCTTAGTCGAAACCCTTGTGAACGCGACAGAGGCTATAGTTTTTGACAAATTTATTTGAGAAGAACTCAATCGATATTTAGCTTTTCACAACATTCTCTTCCCAAGTTACCCTTTTTTTGGCGAAAATCCTGTGAAAGCGATAGAGACTACAGTTTATGACGGATTTATTTCAAAGTTGGTGTGAAGCATTGGGGTCATAGGATGACGAACCTTATCGATATTCAGCGCTCCGTAACCTTCCGTCTCAGAGATGCCCCCCCCACCTTCCCAAAACCTTGTGAACGCGATAGATGCTATAGTTTTTAACGAGAATTTTTTTTTCAAATTTGATGTCCATCATTGAGACAACCAGAGATGGGTCCTATCGATGTTTCCTGTTCTCCACACACCTCTTGGATAATGTGGGCATACGTTGCATGGCAACCGCTTGTTTGGTTTGTTTTTTCCATAAACAACCCTGGGGTTGTTTGTTTAGTAGTGTCAAATATGTGACAGACCACTGTTAGTTTGTAAAACAAAATGGTTTTGGACGCCATTCTCTGTGGCAAAAGTAGACTTAACAAACATTCTTCTTGTCCATATTACCAGTTTTCGTCCGCTTTTCGCCCTATTAAGATTTATTGCATGATTAGTTGTCCAATTTTCTCTTACAAATTGGAGGTTCGTGGCATTTTCCCTAAATAACGAGTTTCTTTAACTATCTTTTGTGAAATGCACTGATAAAAATAAACTAGGAGCCAATATCTGCAGTACTGATAGTTTAATTTCCATACTATTCTACTTACATCTTCATTTTCTTGGGGTCGCGTGCATAAAATGACTTGAAACCAAATGTCAATTAAGTAAACGGCATTCGTTTTGTTTTGAAGAAGCTTTTTGCCAGTAAAGTGTAGGGCATCATCCGACAGACTAGTTGTTCGACTGGATAGTTAGGTAAATATTAGAGTGAGTCGATGGTTTACTTAGTAACTTTTGAATTGGTTTCTACTCTAAAAATAACATTAGATTTACGTAATACTCCCATGTTACATGGTTGGGCGAGCCAAACTTACGTCAAAAAGTGCGAACAAATGTACTGAATCAATTAGAAGTCACCTCGATGTCTCACTATTGGGCACAACGACGGGAATATCTCGATTAGTAAATGGGATAACGATCGTGTCTAGGTTTCAGATCTAAACTGTGGAGACAAAAATACTAGCGTTCTCAATATTTTTAATGGTATTAATATCTTACCGGACAAGAGTTCTCGATCCGAATTACAAATATTGGTGGAAAAATTAACTTCGACATATTATATACACGGATACATTTCCTTGGTCTTAAAATAGTCATTTAATTACAGACTGTGGCAACGGAAAGATCCAGCAATATATCTCTGATGTCAACGTAGATTTCGACGTAGCCTTACACGAAACCTGATGTTAATGTAGATCTCTAGAAGCTAGGACCAGAATAATTTACACTTGCACAATTACCAGGGCATCTTTTGAGCAAGAATACTACTCAAGTTTATTTTATATGCAATCCCCATGAATTATCAACTATCATTTCTTTACCCATCTCTAATAGAACCTTAATGTTAACTATCATTATTTTACCCTTCTTAATGGAACTTTCATATTTTAATGATTATTATTTTTACCAACCTTAATAGAACCTTAATTTGAACTATCATCAGTCGTACCCACCTTAATAGAACCTTAATTTGAACTATCATCAGTCGTGCCCACCTTCATAGAACCTTAATTTGAACTATCATTATTTTTGCCCATTTTAATAGAACCTTAATTCAAAGGTTCTTGAGGATTGCAAAAATATGTATTACCAATGGACACGTAATAAATCACGTTATATCAATACTAAGATATATATTAACTGATTATTAAATGAGTCTAGTTTGAATAATGGAATACTGGTTGGTAAATGATACCTTGCAAAATTGTATCTAATATCAGGAATCCTTATTGCTTTTCAGCTTACCTTTTTGTGATGCTTAAATGATCCGTGCTGATTTTTAGCTAGGAACTCTATACAAAATCCAAGTATATGTTCAAAACATTGGTTAAAATAATCCCGTGTTACGTTATCCAACAAAGTTTGTTGCTGAGCTCTTTCTCGTCCACGGTTCAACTATATTTCTCCTCACTTTGACATCAATTGACAAGAAAAGAATTTCAACAACCATCCAGCCTCATGGTTCGATATCGAGGCGGGTACTAAATATAGACGTAGTGTCAATCTGTTCTCTAATACATTTGGTAAACACGCCCCTTGACATAAGCACGTACGTCATCTTTTTCTTGCTCAATGACTATCTCAGAAAGAGTAACGAGATGGTTTGGGCGACTAAGAAAAGGATAGGCCTATTCAAAGAGCATTTCATGGCGATTTCATAACCAATATTCACAGTGTAATACAAGTAACCATGGCCTTCGAAAGCGCAGGTGGATCCCTGGGCAAAAAGAAATATAATGTAATTTTTAGTTCTCGTTGTTATGCTTCACAATGGGAAAGACGAACGTTTTGGTTATTAAATTAATTTATATTTTCCGCTCTTGCCACTGGATCCATGTTAGGTTATTTGTTTTATCCCTTCTTGCCACGGGACCCCTGTTATTAGATTCATTTATTTTATCCCGTCTTACCACGGGACCCCTGTTATTAGATTCATTTATTTTATCCCGTCTTGCCACGGGACCCCTGTTATTTGCTTAATTTATTTTATACGCTCTTGCCACGGGACCCCTGTTTTCGAAAAACTGTCATTCAAACTATCGTGCAAAAATATTAAAATTGCGAAAATGGCATATCATTCAAAAATATTATAAAAAGACACTCTTGACACTCTATGGCCTATTGAAAGACCTAACACCAATCAATATTACAATAGAGGATTGGCTGAAGGGTAACACGTAGTCAAATAATGAGTTCTATCATTATAAGAGACTATTCAGAAAATCTTAACATAGGATGGTCTATGAAACAGTTTACAGTTGTGTTTTTATCTGAAATATTAACGCATAGCTTCAGAAACGAGCTGATAATAGTCGCACCATGGAACCAGAATCCAAGGAGGTAATATTGAACATGTACGAAAATTTAAACAAGATCATCTGAAACTTTATATTATTTGATTTAGTTTTTATGCGCCCACATTTTCTTGTTCACGTATATTGTCGTCGCTCCTGTCCGCTCGGACGTCCGTTCACATTTTGTTTGTGGACACTCTACAGGTCACACTTTTTATCCGATTTTGACGAAACTTAAAATACATCTATATAGGTTTATATCGCACATATCTCGGTTCCTTTCGATATTGGCATGTATCGGACCGTAACTTCATGGATTATTGCCCCTGGTTGTACGGAAAATCACGCTTTTAGCTTGTGGACACTCTAAAGGTCACAATTTTATCCGATTTTGAGGAAACTTTAAACGTAGGTTTATAACCCTGCGATCTCGGTTCCTTTCGATATTCGCGCATATCGGACCGTAGCTTCATGCGACATATGGTCCCTAATTGTACGAAAATTCGCGTTTTTAGCTAAAGGTCAGAATTTTTATCCGATTTCCAAAACTGTTCAAACCTATCCCCGAAACTGCCCGACAAAATGGCCGCCCCTCGTACGCAAATATTTTAAAAGTATGTAATACCAACTGTGGCCCCTCTAGGGGTCACAAATTTTATCCGATTTTAATGAGACTTACAATATATATTTATATCCCAAGGATTTTGGTTCATTTCGATATAAGAGGATATCGGATGGTAGCTCTCTGGGTTATGGCCCCTGAATGTACGAAAAATCGCGTTTTTAGCTTATTCTCTGGCCATCTCTTGCAAAATGTGGGTGCATCTTTAATGGCAACCGCTTATTTATATTTCCAATCAGAATTGATGACATCGTGGGAAGTACAATGACATAAACTTATATTCCGATTAGAAGTGCTATGTTTGCTATATAGCATAACAAAGTATCACGTCTTCAGAATAAAATGCCAATGGTAACAGCAAGAGCAATCACTGGTGTTTTACTTTTTCTTTTCATAAACCTAGTTGCCCAAACGTGAACAAGCATTCCAATCACACCTCCGTTTCTCGGTCATGTGATCTCTTGTCATTGCCCTGACTGGTCAAAAGTGTTTGTTTCATTCGTGCGGTGTTTGTAGGAGACTTCTGTCATCATCTACAAAATTTGATGGCAAACAGTCAAGAATTGTTACAAACCCTAACCAGCCATGGAACAAATAATCTTAAATGTTTGAGTGACAGTGTAGTTGTTATACATATTTAATCTTCCGTAACCTTTAATGTCACTCTACACTCTTTAATTTGTACACACACTGAACTACGTGACGAATTTATATTAAAAGTTAGGGGATATGAGAGTAATAGAACAAATAGTAAATGAAATGAAATGGGGTTAAAACCTTTCTGCTTCGACTGGGCTAATAAATACAGAAATGAAATGAAATGGGGTTTAACGTCCTACTGTTCTGCTGCTAACCTGGGCTAATGTAGACGGGCATACACCATAGAGTGTGCTATGAAGGAAATTTTGCCCGGGCAGCGGCGCTACAGCCTACCTTTATATCGAATTCCAACTGCCAAGGGATCTTTTACGTGCACGCCGATGTGTACACGGGACCTCGGTTTTTCGTCCCATCCGAACGACTAGACAGCTGTCCTTGTCAGGCCCTCTATCCTCCTGCATCACTGACAAGGGGAAACCACGCCGGAAAATCTGAATGAACTTTCTCGGCCAATGCAGGGATCGAACACCCGACCTCCAGGCTAGCGAGCCAGCGTCTTACCCTCTTACCCACGTGATCCCCTAATAAATACAGACATACGCCACGACATTCGCCATGCAGTGTGCTATGTGGGAAATTGTGCCCGAACAGTGACGCTACGGTCTGCTTTTATTTCGAATTCTGTCAAGGATTCTTCTACATTTACACCAAGACACAAAACTTCGGCTTTCCGTCCCGGCCATTGGAACGACTAGATACTATTCCCGTCTTTAGCTTGAGGTTCCCCTAGAGGTCACAATTTTTATCCGATTTTGAGGAAACTTAAAATGTAGGTTTATAACCCCACGATCTCGGTTTCTGTCGATATTCGCGCATATCGAACCATAGCTTCATGCGACAGATGGCTACTAATTGTACGAAAATTCGCGTTTTAGCTTGTAGTCCCGCTAAAAGTCAAAATTTTTATCCGATTTCCAAAACTGTTTAAACCTATCCCCGTTACACCCTAATGACGGTTGAGTTCGAGTTTCGTGAAAATCGGACCGAAACTGCCCGACAAAATGGCCACCCATCGTACGCAAATATTGTAAAAGTATGTGATAGTACCAAGGCTGTGGACCCTCTAGGTGTCACAAATTTTATCCGATTTTAATGAAACTTACAATATATATTTATATCCCAAGGATCTTGGTTCCTTTTGATTTTAGCGCATATGGGATGGTAACATTTTGGATTATAGCCCCTGAATGTACGAAAATTCGCGTTTTTACTTGTGGACCGTATAGAGGTCACAATTTTTATCCGCTTTTAAAAAAGGTTAAAAGATATCACAGTAATTACATCATAATGATGATTGAGTTCGAATATTGGTCTGTAACTTCCCGGATTATGGCCCCTGATTGTACGAAAAATATCGTGATTTTAGTCACAACTATTATTCAGTTTTAAAAACCGTTTAAATATATCACCAAATAGTGCAGTAAAAGTATGGTATATCAAGGTTGAGGTCACAATTTTGATCTGATTTTGGTGAAACTTTAAATTTATTTTTATATCACAATGATCTTGGATCCTTTCGATATTTGCGCATATCGGTCTGTAAAGGTATGTAATACCAAGGTTGTGGACCCCCTAGAAGTCACAATTTTAATCTCGGTTCCTTTTGATATTTGTGCATTTCGGACCATATCTTCCTGGATTATGACCCTAGATTATTTTTTAGCTCGTTCTCTGTCCATCTTGTGTTGCAAAATGTGGGCGTATCTTGCATGGTAACCGCTTGTATTTTTCCATGAATATAATTTTTACTGTTGGAAAGCATGTTTGAACTTTGATGTGTATTGTATTGTGGTTTGTTTTTCTGTGATTTGGAGGGAGGGTCGATGGGGGTGGATAGACTCAAGAATAACCCTGGCGGAACACGCTCTAGCTCCACCACTGCATGGTGTTCCGAATCATAGAAAGTCTGAAGTAAGACATTAGTAGAAAGTTGACATCCTTCTAAAATAAACAACTTTCGGGGGTTTACCTTTAGTGAAATATAATAAATTTTATTAAATATCAACAATGTTAAAATAATTATATCGGCGATGACTTATATAAAGAGCCTTAAGGTGTTGGCATTATTTCCATTTCATGCCGCTTAACAGATATCCTTATTGTGTTTCAAATGCATTATATTTAAAACTAATAGTCTATATTGCCGTCTTAAGAAATGGAGAATCGAACCTCGTCTATTTAGTCAAGTACATGGAAGTGTATTGTATTATTGTCGATAAGATAAACGTGTTGCAGAGTAACAGCTGCAATGGTCTATTTAAATCTATTTACCGCCGTAGAAAATTACAAATTGGTATTTTCTTCTACTATCAGGTTGGTGTATACATCATTTCATATATACCAATGTCTATCATACAGCTGAGTTATTTCTGGAAGGTTCAATTTGTGTATTAATTGTGAAAACTGGTATAATTTTAGAATGGGTGATGTGAAAGATGCAATGGGTGATCAATGGCGTGCTGATTTATTGAAAGATGTGAGAACTCTTCCTAATATTGGAGCTGTTCCTGGTACATTGGTCGTGTTTGGAGAACTAGCTAGACCCATCCTTCTGAATCCACAGCAAAAGAGCGTCTGGGTTGCTGCCGGTGAATTGGGAGATGGTCGAATAGTCGTAATAGGTCATGTGCATTACATTCATAAGCTTAAAAGTAAAAATAGTAACAAACACCTAGATATAGTCAAATTCCATGAGAATATAAAACTATGGTTGACAAAGTTTACAGGAGTGAATAATAGCGAAATAAAACTGTTGACAAGTCTTACGGTTGAAACACTGAGCAGTACACGGATAATTATAGTGACAGGGAGTAAAAATCCGGATATTCCTGACGAAATGGTATACCAGTTTGTAGAAAGTGGTGGTGCTTTGCTTCATTCGATTTGTCCATGGGGGTGGTTGCAAGTTCACCCTGGGCTGACTCTTCAAGATGTTCCCCTGTATAGTATTTTGGAAGAAGTGGGCATTCTTTATCAAGATGGATACTTTCGTTGTCCAGAAAATGGGATGCAGATTGCATCTTGTGTGGCTTCGGAATCTTACCACATGAAGCACGCTCTTGAGAATATGCATCTAGATAAGTGTTGCCGAACTTTGTCCCAGATAAATGAGGTTCCATTAAAATCCTTGCATGCTTTAGTAGGAACATGTGGTCAGCTGTTGCGCAATATGATAGCTGAGAATGGCAAAGACAATGTACCCACTGAAAGAACTCCGATTTCGTCAACAGTTGGCAAGTCAACGATTTACGTGCATGAAGTACTCAACAAAACTGGAAATGGACCGCCACAAATGCCAGGATTTGACAACTTTCCAGGAGATTTTGCTTTTGATCCGCCCAGAGTTAATACGGAAATTATTATAGAATCTATGATTGACGCCTGTCACCCTACAGGTTTTTATGTACGTGCCGGAGAAGACATTTCTATCGAAGTTCTAAACGACCAGTCAATGGATACAGGTTGGGAAATTCAAGTAGGTTCTCATACTGACCGTCTTCATACTTCGTTATCAATGAAACGTTGGCCTATAATAACAGAAAGATTTAAAATAACGGTCAGAGAAACCAAGATAAGGACTCCGTTTGGAGGGTTACTCTATGTCCGCAGTCCGCGTTGTAAAGGTCGGTTAGTTCTTCATGTTAGGAATGTTGTAGAAGCGCCGTATTTTGACCTTACAAGACTAGAAACAACCAATAATTGGCACGAGAATAGACAAGCACCAGGCCTGTGGGCTGATATTTGTGGGAAACATATTGTACTCACTTTGCCCTCAAGCAGCATTCGGAATATCGAGGATCCAAGTCCCGCCTTGGAAACACTGGACCTAGTTGTGCGTGCACATCATCATTTGCGTGGTAGTGACCCGAATACAATACACAGAGAATGGATTGTAACAGATATTCAACCGGCTGGCGGACATATGCATTCTGGATACCCTATTGTTACTCATTTAGATTTAGCACAGCCGGACAACGTCGCCTTTTTACTCAACAGTGAACAGTTACTTGAAAAGGGTAACTGGAGCCTGTTTCATGAGCTAGGACACAACATGCAGCGACCTGTTTGGACATTCTCGGGAACCACAGAAGTTACTTGTAATATATTCACCCTACACGCTATTGATGTCATTTCTAAAAGACAGATATGGCTACATCCATGGTTGAAGTCAAAAGTAGAAAAAGCTCAAAAGCATATAAAACACTCGTGTGAATATACAAAATGGCAGTCCGATCCTGGTATAGGACTTTTTATCTACGCACAAATAATTCATCAGTTTGGTTGGTCTGTTTTTAAAAAGACATTCAGACATTACGAAAATAACGATCGACCAGCTCAGTTAAAAACAGATGGTGATAAAGTGGACTGCTGGTTCCAGACGATGACAAAATTTGCCGAGTACAATCTAGCCCCATTAGCAGATCTCTGGAATATTCCACTATCATCAGAATGTAGAGAACAAATGAAAGCGTTCCTGCCATTTTTACCCGAAGACGAAATAACCGAAGCTGCCCCAGAAAAAGTCAAAGCTCTGATGGAAATATATCCTGCTCTTATTCGTAAAATCGTGAAACCCAAAGATGCATTTGAAGAATTAAGATGTTGTCCCAAGAAATGGACTGTTCAATGTAAAATAGTGGCATAAATCTTTGGAACTATTTTCGGGATCATTGCAATTGCTTGATTCTGAATTGAACATTTTATATTTATCGCCAGGGTCTCACTTTTAATTTAAAATGACTAACTTCGTTCTCAAAATAAAAACATTTCTCTGGCCAGGACTGTGACTTTCAACAGTAAAAGATTTCAAATAGTGGTAGTGTTCACCCTCTCGTTCATTTCTCTTTATGCGCATTCGAATCTGACAATCACTTACTTTGTAGCAGACGGCCATTTCACAAACAATACATGCCGGTAGTTCATTATACCTACCATATTCATTAAGATGACTTCTTTCTTTTCCCCTCTTTTGTTTAGTTTTAGGAAGAGGGGTGAGGGCGGGGGGGGGGGGGGGTAACCAGACATTTACCTTGACCTTTCCATCCAGAACAGTTCGAAACACACAATATAGTTTTACTTCACATGCATACAACTGATAAGAAAGAAACGCTTTATTTCAATTCTTATGGCAAGATATCAGTCAAAATTCCTCCACGAACCGATCAGAAATCCAAAGGCAAAGACTCGGTGTTCAACGTAAATCCCCGAACATCTATTTTAAGTTGCCGTGAAACGCCGGGGGTGTTACAGAGAAGAGCTTCTTGTCGCTTACTATAACTGGGGTCTGCTGTCTTATATAATGAATGTAGTAGGAGATGCGTGTCATCAAGTCAGACGCCCTTTTTTCCTTCTGCCTTTTAACTTACCTTGCAGTTCGCGATTCTTTTGAAAGCAATCTCGTTTGCTACTCCAAAGGATTAACACATCCTGTAGTTATTTCAACTCAAGAGCACGAGTGGGCTTAAAGACCCACCGGTTAATTGCATTACGTTCTCAGTATGAATAATGTCTCTATGAGGGGATTCGTAGACGAATGCTCCAACGCGTGCGCTATAAATCATAAGGCCCACCATTGGTTTAAAGCCCACATTTTCATCGAAATATAATTGAACAATATGTTAGTTCCGAAACGTCCTAGTTTGTGTCCAATGGACGTTAAAACTCTAAATCCTGTGAAATTGTCCAAATGTGCACATTTTAGTTACCTGCCGCTGCCCTAGCATATTTTATTTGTGACAATAGTTATTGACTTTCTGTCATGTTGTCTAGGTAACATTTAGTTAACTTACCGTCCACCATTTTGAATACAACAGGTGTTTTTTGTTAGATCTGTAATAGAATTAATGGAAGTCACTTTCAACAATAACATTTAGCATCGATTATAGAGGTATTATCACTTTCACTAGTACATAATATAAAATATGCATTGGATATGGTAATATAATCTAAGCTTATCAGTCAAATGAATGTTACTGGATGTTCATGATAAAATCAGGCCAATTTCAGAATGGATGAGTTACTTTATTTTTTGCAACATGGCGGCTTCCACTAGCCTGACCCATGCGAACTAAAGTACAAAGATTGGAAGGTACGTCATAGTTTGTGCATTGTTTATATTATAAATTTTGTATTGGCCAAATGAATGTGTTGTCTATTTTACCAAATAAATCACAATCAATTCGCTTATTTGTGTGGATTTATTTATAAACTACGACTTCACGAAAGTGCGTCCCATTAATGCGACGCTGCCCACGTTAATTTTCATATTTACTTTTTGTTCATTTAGGGAAATTTTCAACAGATATGTGGGATTTTATTTTGTTTTCACTTAAATTAATTTATGTACTAATTTATTTTCAGATTATTGAAAGTAAACCATGCTATTGACTTGCTCTTAGAAAATGATGGTTATAAAACAGCTGATATTTACATGGAATCACCTGTGGTAAATGGGTTGACTGACTCAGATAGTGGCGATGAAGACTGATTTGGGGCAACAAATAGCAACTCATCTGGGGCACAATTGTCTGCAGAATGTACTGTAACACTAGGGAATCGTGGAGGGGTGGCACTGGGACTACAACAAATGCAATCTCATTAAAACACAGATCCTATTTCGTTTCTTTTTTTATAGTTTAAAATTTCGTTTTACTTGTCTTCGCAACACTAGGATCTGGAAGAGTTGTTATATAACACGCGGGCTAAATCTATTTGTTAAGGCCAGCTCAATTTTTGTCATGGTCGTTGAGATGTAAATAAGGTTAGGGGACGTGATTCTTGGCGAGATTGTAGGTTAGGTTTAAGTCTCCACATAAGCACTGACCTAGGATGATGAAAATGTAGTTCGTGATATTTCCCGGTTTTATAAATATACATACAATAAATTATATTTATATACAAAGGTGATTTCACCGTTTTTTGGTGTTGGTGGCGCTGATGGTCTTCCTTGGATGGTGCTTCACTCGGCAAACCTCGGCAGATTCCGGTACCCTACATCTAACCTCGGCTGTATGATAGTAATTGATATGTACCTACGCCCATACATTTGCGATGCGGCTACCAATTTACTTTAACAGGTAAACGTGCCGCTTTTACAAAAAAGTCCCAAAATGGCGTCTTTTGTCGAGTGTATATAACTAAACGAGCAGAGATATTGTCTCAAGGCTGCTGGTTTGATATAATTCCCTGGTAATTCCCCAAACGCAATGCCAAACTTGGCGTTTGTTGATATAATACACTCTCCACAGAAATCTCCATGGGCGCAGCCATTTTTCATCCGGAACCTTTAAAATAATTCCAATATGGCGGAATTCGTCATACAGCCGAGATTAGATGCGTAGAATCTGTCGAGGTTTGCCGAATGGATGGTGCTTGTGATATTTTGGTATTTTTGTTGCTGAAGAAAAAAAAAAAAATTTGAGACTTTCGGATGAGAGCTACATTAATGTGTTTCCTACTAAGAATTTGATTTTCTAAAAATGTGTTTGTTCCACTATCACAGGGTTAGGGCTAGGGATTCTTGTATCTATTTGATTTTATTTACTAACGGTTAGGGCTAAGGTTTGATATATGGTTGGTTTTGGGTTAGGGTAAGGACTGGTCTTATTTAATCTATTACTGTGCACTAAGATGTCGTTCAGATTTTTATTTTTAGAATATGCAATAATACGTTTCTGTGTAAAGATTTCCGGGTGATTTTCCTGGAGATCAATATGGTGTTTTTGATGATTTTGGACGCACTTGCTGCTGTTGTGCTAAATGGGACTACAAAGCGGGCTATTGCGCTAGCCGTATAAATAGTCAAACCGGGGGGGGGGGGCTGTTGTTTTCAATTTGTCAATCCAGAATTTTTCTCTTGTTAGCCTAAACGTTTAATTTCTTCTGGGGTTTCAAAATCGCTCTTAGTCTTTTCTATTAGTGCATTTTGGGTCTCCCCTATTTATTGTTTGTAACATTGTCTACATGAAATTAGATAAATTATGTTTGAACTACTACATGGAAGTTGGTCTAATATTGGGAATTGTGTGCCAGAAGTTTTGTTATGGACATGGTCGGATATGTTTATAATTTAGCATGTTTGACATCTTGGGTGGCCACAAGTTTTGGTTTTAACTGCTGGTTGCATATTATTTGTTTCTTTGGCGGTAAGTTCAGCTAGAGTGTTGTTTTTTATACGTCGGAGATAGCGTTCGGAGTATCTCCTTTCCACTACAACCGGTTAGATCTTCATGTAATGTAGGTCAACGAAAGTATAAAAAAACGAAACGAAATATAGATGTGTATTGTAATCAGATTACAGTAAATACCAATGTGCAGTACGATGAAGATGGCGATAACGAGAATGATGATCCGAATATTGAAGATCAAATGACTGTGCAGTCCAAGAAACATAAAAAAAGCAGTAAGTAAATGCGGAAAATGGAGACTGATTTTTTAACAGTCAAACCAAGCGATTTCCCAGCTGATAACTCGTGGATTCAACACACTGACTATACTCTGGCTGGACTATTTGAATTGTTCTTTGATGATGAAGTTTGTGAGAGAGAGAGTCATTTCGGGACTAAAATATTGTTCAGTTTTATTCCAAAAATTCGCTTGCGCGTAGGGGTCTTTGGCAGTGGGAGGAAACCGGAGAACCCGGAGAAAACCCACGAAGTTGGACAAGCGACCCTACTCCTTGTCACGTACAACCGGGGAATACAAATGACGACAGTTGACTCAATGACAGACCTTATGATGCAACGCGCACGCCCTGACCATTTTACAGGATAAACTGTCACGTACCACCGGGGAATCGAAACCACACCAGTTGACTCAATGACAGACCTTATGATACAACGTGCACGCGCTAACCATTCATCCATCAACATCCCCCTAAACACACACATACTCCCTTAAGCTATTGCAACATCATTTCCATATAGAAGATTTGAAGAGCTGATAATACTAAACTTAACCCGAATGATAGATGACAAAACTACGTCCACTAATTAGAATTCTAAATCAACGGTTTCTGGAGTTCAGTGGCATGCAGCGATTTGGTCAGTGGTGCAGGGCAGGACAGAGGATCTGGCAATTGACAACGTATAGTCGTTCGGATGGGATGACAAACCGAGGTCCTGTGAACACATTGGCGTGCCCGTAAAAGATCCCTTGGCAGTTGGAATTCAATATAAGAGTAGGCCATAGCGCCGCTGTCCGGGCAAAATGCCCCTCATGGTATCATGGCACACTGTAGGACGTTAAACCAGGTTATTTCGGGACTAACTTATTCTTCAATTTTATTTCAATAATTCACTTGCATAGGGGTCTTTAGCAGTTGGAGGAAACCGGAGGACCCGGAGAAAACCCACGAGGCTGGACAGGCGACCCTACTCCTTGTCACGTACAACCGGGGAATCGAAACGACGACAGTTGACTCATTGACAGACCTTATGATACAACGCGCACGCGCTAACCATTTTACAGGATAAACTGTAGAATGACCAGGAATTTACGGATTATTTCTGTTTGCAAATGCAATGATAACTTATCGTATACATATATAATAATTTCTAATAATTATCATGTTATGGTATTCATTTCAATTTATTAACCATAATATGAAGAATTATAATTTGTAAATTTTGGTATATCACATGCCATGTATATCTAATTGCCATTATTTATAAGATCTATAAAGTGTATTGTTATTCATCAAACGTTAATCTGATAAATTGGTAGTACCGCAAGCTTACATTTAAAACACTCTAACCGATTCAATCACTGACGACTAGAGGTTTGTGTTACCTTGCTCTCGTTTATCGAATAGGATATTCAGTATTCTTATGTTAGTGGAAAGAGGTTGCCTCTTAAGTCAATGGTATACCTTCGGACTCGCTACAATAACGAAAAGTTAATTGCCTCTTAATCAATGACATTTATTTTCTCTTTCATGCTCTGGAAACAAAAATTACC